TACAATAATATCTAAAACTCTATCAAGTTGACGGAAAATTGAAGAGAATGGGCGACGATGACCACAGAAGTCGTTCGCTCTTTAAACCAAAATATAATAAAAATATCTGGTGTGTCCACTCACACTTCAGAAAAGTTTTTATATCTTTATATATGTTCATGAAGAAACAAAAAAGAATTGAAATAGATACATTTTCCTGAAAATTAATCAAACATAACATTTGAGTCCGATTTATTTGATAAACTAAAGCAATGCAAACCGGCTTAAGGTAGATCAGTGTATAAATTTCAATACTTCCTAATATTGCTGATCAAAAACTATTTGGCATAGCTTAGTATTGTCAAACAATAATTTCTATTAAAAGTAGAGGAAATAGTAAAGATTGTGTGATGCGGGCAACTGATTTTTTTACTTTCACTTAGTCATCTTTATTTTCTAATTCACCCCTTTCTGACTCCAGAATATGAAACCGTAATCTTACATTGGAAATTGAATAGCTGTAACTTCGTTAATAGATGTCCAAAATGAACGATTTTTATATAGCTTTGTAGGGAATTTCATTATCTTTCAAACGATAGGCTAAACGGCATATTTTCCTTACCTAGTATAGGTAGGAAAGTAATAAGTTAAAAAATGTGTAAAAAATAGAATAAGCTGTATCATCGCTAATACTGTTTCGATTCCGATGATTTTTTTTTTTTTGTTTTGTTGGTAATTTAATTACCTTTCAAAAGTTTTATTATAAATTTTACCGTGTAATATATTCTTAGGGAGTTAGGCCCATAACATTTTTCTTTTCTTTATAACTTTTTTTTCTGAATTATTTCGGGAATTTGCTCTATATAAGAAAATTGAAAATACAGTCTATAGCCGTTATTGCCCATGGAGCACCGAATTTCTGTCACAGGCATCAGTAGTCAAAACCTTACAAAATAAGCAACAATCGGTTTAGTAATATCTGATAAAATTTTGGCAAAGACAGACAGACCAATTGCTAAAAATATGTTTTCCGGACACAGGGGGCTCTAAAACGTATAGATCCGTCGAAAACCGCATATCGGAAATTTGACCCGATTGTAATACTTTCCTTACCTAGTATAGATAGGAAAGTAAAAATCACCTGACGGTTTGGAACATTATTATAGCAAGAAAAAAATTGTAGCAATTCAAAAATATTTTTATCTGACAGGCAATTTCAAATTGAAAATAAACGCTAGAACAGTCCCCATTCTTAGTACCAAAGTAAGTTCGGTTTACAGTATTTTATAACAATATAATTTTATGAATTTATTATATTATTTTATGCTTGTTTTCTTAGCACTCGTGGCGAATTTGTTTGAACCTTCGGGTCTTATATTTTTCAACCTAGTATCACCAAAAAAGTTTCATTTAAATCGGTGACCCCTACGTTAAGATTTTTAATCGATACAAAATTAAAATGTTATTATAAATAAATATGTTGAAAATATTCTTTAATCGATGTCTTCTTATTACTTGAAAACTTTTTAGCTCTAATTTAAATAGTCATAAATTATTTTAAACAGTTGTTTTGACGTATAATAATAGATATAGACAAATTACTCAATAATTTTTTAACATTATTTGTCTCGTTAAATTTGTTTACTTGAATTTATGTTTAAAGAGTAAAATTTTATCCATTTAGCAGTGGTCGTTTTACCTAGAACCAGAATAGTTTCGTAGACCACATTCAAAACCTCATTCAGAATCTCTTGTTCAAGCTTTGTTCGCATTACGAAAATTATTCACGTGAACATGAATTATCTTTCATTTAATTCAGCATGAACAAATATATAAAGCTTAACTAATCTCATACCATTTTTCAAAACTTTACCTTCAAAGTGATTGATGATGCTTTTGGTCCTCTCTGTGACGCCATTAACAATTATTTGTTATTTGTCGTTTTTATTTTCTTCACAAAAACAAGAATAATCAAGTTAATTTCTGATAACTAAATTATCTACCAGGCATTGAAATAAATATGTTTCCATTGATAGTTAGATATCGTATTTAGGTTATTAATATAATTAACTCATAAAAATCATGAATGGTATACAATAAGAAATACAGAGTGACGAAAACATTCCAAACCTCCTACTTTTAGTTTTTTACAAACTTTTAAATTTTTTACAAGCCCGTTATAAATGATAAGTTTGCTTATAAATTTATGAATATCGTAGTTGTTGAAGAACTACGGTTTATTTGAAATGTTTTTTGAGGAATCATGGAATGTTGGTAAATAGATGACGAATGAGCTATGATGGATTGAGTTTAAATTTCATTGTTGGCCTTGCTTTAAGTTTTGAACAAATGGACAATCTACTGAAAATTCCGACGTGCGATTTATTTTAGATTATATAATATCATAAAATCGATTTATTATTTATAATGCTTTGTACTTCAAGATTTTCTGTCCTAAGATGATGCAAGTAATATTTGTTTACTTCTTGTTTGAGGAATTTGAACTCGTGATCTTCGGTTTATCAGGTTGCCGAGGGAAACGCTTATTTTACACACTTATTAAACAGTTCGACCACTACGCCCCTAAATTAGTATAATTACGGAAAACGTTTTTTTTCATAGATTTAGATTGTAATATAAAATAATATAGTCCCATTTTCTTATGAACTCTAATACCTAACTACTAAATCGTTTAAGATGCGTACTCTAAAAGTGCACATTTTAAAATTATGTATGCATTTATTATAAATATAATAAAATATCAAAAAAACAAAATAAATATTTTCAGATAAAAGAAAGTTAAAGTAAAAACTATAGACGGTACGAAATTATTTCCGTTTAAGACTGTATGTTTTAATTATTTATTTGGTTATAATAAATAATTAATGCCACGAAATATTTTTAGTCCGACAAGAGTTTCACTGATATAGAAGGCCGCTATATTTATTTACATTTCATCGTGGACATTCTTATTTGTTTAAGCACCGGTATATACACAAATATTAATTGTTATAGTGCCGTAATCTATACAATTAAATATTAAATAATACCAATGGTAGCATTTATAAAAACCTCATATGTATATGTATATAATATTATGGGTTTTACGTATGGAAGTCTATTATAATTTATGAATGGTGACTCCAATGATAGATGAGAATTATAATTTTATTATTTATTCACCTTCTAACGACGTTTCGAGCTACTTTGCTCATTTTCAAGTTATCAAAATTCAACAATGGTGAATAAATAATATAATTATAAGGGTTTATCTATCTTGGAGATACAAGTACATTAAGTGCCCATGAAAAACATACTATTCTAACCTTTCGACCGAGTTCGGATTTATTCGGTCCCTCTATTACTACTATTCCAAATCAAGATATTCTTATTTCTCCTTTAGTTAATTATCAAATTCTTTCATATTTTATATATAACCATTTTTATACCTAGTTAACATGTGACATGGTTAATTGTTTAAAATAAAAAAATTAAAGGTACTTTAGAGGAAATTTTTTTGAAAATTAGTCAATAAAGATCTGTTAAAGAACATCAATGAGAATATGACCGATATTATATTAAAAAAATGCTTAATTTTACACCGATATGATGAATTTATTCAAAATCATTTAAGCTGTTTTCAAGAAAATCGTAAAAACGTATTAAATCGATAATGTAAAATGCTACTTTCGGCTATTCGATTTTGACGAAAATTTTGCTGTAACATCCCAGGCATATAAAAACCTCAAATATGCAATTTCATTTTTGTACGACTTTTCGTTTACGACGATTTTGCGAGACTTGGTAATTTGAACTCAGAGTATCAGAGGACCTCAAAACCGTTGAAAACTCGGATACGAAAATTTTCACGATTGCAATACCTTGCTTCACTATCTATTTCATATATAGATAAGTGAAAGTAAAAATTTATTCCAGACCCGAACAAAATTTTTATAAATATTATAGTAATTTCTATCATTCCTATCTTCATAACTATGATGAAAATTGCGTGTATAGCCTAAAATACAATATTAATAAAAAATATTGCCTTAAATGTATATCAATTGAACCTGCAAAACGTCTTAATTTTTCCATATATGCACGTTTCGGGCCAGCGTTCCGCGAATATATGGCTCAAAGATTCACAAATTTCATTAATTTTAATTGACTCCTGCGCAATTTAAAGTAACAGGAATTTATTACTTTTTCATATCGATTCTGTCATGGCTTCTTATACTGAACTCTCGACCCGAAATTCTTTAATTAAATTCTTACTAAAAAATAAAACAACTAAATAAAATAAATAATAGTAAGTCTGTCTTTACCAAAGTTGTTTAAAGAGGACGTTTGTTACAATCAAATTTTGATTACAACTTAGCATCACGAATACTACGTAACACAGAATGCTGTGGATTTGAAAATACATCTTTCGATTAGGTTTACGAAGGTCGGATCTTAATGCAAAACATTCCAAATCATACAGAGACTTTTAAATTAAAACTACTGTTTGATATTTCATTTGTGATGAAGCATCCTTTTTGTAAATTGATGAAAAACCCACCGAACCCTGTTGCCTTCGACAGATCTTTCATTATCAGATCCTCTACGGAATTATATACCTCCTTGCATCTGTCGCTCCAATACCCTCCTCACCTTTAAATCTCGGCTATTTAATCACCTTATATTCGTTCAGTACTCATAAAATTGTAAATAGATGTTTAAATATGTATGTAAATTATAATTTTTATTTTATTTTTATAATCGATGATTCTAACTTCTACTTACACAACTTCTACTGAAGCTCCAAAGTCTACATTTCTGTTTTTGTATATTATTCCAAAGGGACTTTTCCTAAAATAGATAAAGTATTATTTAAAAAAAAAGAAAGTTTCAATATATCTCTGATCACCAAGATTCCGCCATCCCTAACCTTCCTCAACTGAACCTTCGTAGACGAGTTCAAAGTTCAGAAAAATTTAAATGACCACCCAGACAGATGTACTTCAGCGAAATTCCATGAGATGCGCAAAACATCAGCACTCGAGCTGAAGTGTAGCGATAGCATCTGCTATATAACTTCCGTTGAGATTCGCGCTTGGGTATTCTTCGTCATGGCTCAGTGGAGCCCTTATACCATCTTAGTTCTGGTGGTAGCCGCAGTCTCAGCCAGTAATGGTAAGTACCTGGTTATTTTAAACTATGCCATAAATTCGCTAATAGATAACAGATTCAAGGTTTTAAAATCCAATTAAAATGTTAACAAGTTATTAGTTTCCAAATGCAATGACTTCGTCTTAATTGAATTCGTAGAAATATGAATTCGGCTTGAAAAATATAATTTTTAGAAATTAATTGAAACATGTTATTGTAAAATCAAAAATAGTAAGAAAATACATCAACAAGGATTTCTATACTCAATATAGAATTATTTATCTTCAATTTTATCTTGTAATCCATAATCTTCAATATACGAAAAAAGATTGTAAGATATATAATAATCTTCACTGTCAAAGATTATTCCTTTTGACGAATCTCTCGTGGAGGGTTTCCCAGACTTTATATCGCTGTGCACATCTACTTTTCTGAAAAGTGAACGTACCATCTGAGATTTCGTGATGTTATTTAATTGTTCGTCTTTTTATTAAAGTTTATATAGCACACATTTATTTACAATGATTTAATTAATAAACAAACCATGTATATAGTTAGGAGTACAGTAAATTAAATTCCTAAGACTCATTGAATTTCACCGCTAAAACTTCATTTATGTGCAATGTTTCGGCTGAAATGCGAAAAAAATAGATAGGGCAAGTTCCTAAACTCAGTACTGAGTACGGGCGGATCTACAGGGGGGGAGGGGGAGAGGCTTTCGGGCTGAAGCCCCCTCCCCCTAAAAAAAATGGGAAAAAATATCCATATTTATCGAAAAAAATATTTAAAAATTATCTCTCAAAGTATTATTGTTCGTGTAATTACATTTAAAAGGGATTTAGGAATCATTTAAACACAATTTCATATAGGTAGTTAGTTTCTTTCTTTTTTCCCAAAGTAATTATCGTTATTGTTATTAAAAAAAAAAACTTTCGGGCTGAAGCTCCCCCAAAAAAAATAAATCCTGGGTCCGCTAGTGGTACTGAGCTCATCGATAACATCGGAAATCCATCAGACTGTTCTCAAAACAATAGATGGAATTCACCACATTCCTTTATTCCTTGAATGAATTACCATTTAGCTCTTTCGTATTTTCAAGTCGATGTATACGCTAAATATAAATTAATTATAACATCACTGTTGTAATTTTTCAATTTACTTTACACATTTATATTCATTTTATAATTTCTACCTTTATTTATTTCTGTTTTAAAATTTAATTTAAGGCATTTTCTTGTATATTTTTTGTTTTTCACCTATTTTATAACTTTCAAGGATTGTTAAGCTTCCGCAAGAATCCAGAAGGTTGTTCTTAAACTAAGCATACGTCGCTGTCCGTGGGTTGGCTGTCTTTAGGAACTTGCCTATTTTTGGTAGTGAAGTTCAACCAATCATAGGAATTTAATTAATAAAAGTGTTCACCTTAAACAGTAGATTTTTTATACTGTTACTAAACAAAAAAAAAAAGATATTTTTTATTTTTATCTATTATCCTTTGCACTAGCGGATCCAGGATTTAATTTTTGTGGGGAGGGAGGATTCTAACTCGAAAGTTTTTTTTTTCATATATATAACGATAATTACTTTGTAAAAAAAGGAAGAAACTAACTACCCATATGAAATGGTATTTTAAGTGATTCTTGGACTCCTATTAAATATAGTTACACGAACAATAATATTTTAAAGGATAATTTTTAAAATATTTTTTCCATAAAACATGGTTATATTTTACCATTTTTTGGGGGAGGGGGCTCCAGCCTGAAAGCCTCCCCTCCCCCCTTAGATCCGCCTGTGATCCTTTGTGATAAATAAGTGATAATCATCCTCTTAGTTTTAGTTTAGATACAGAACATAAAATCTCTTTTTGTTTGTTGGACCACTAACGGATTCAGGATTTGATTTTCGGAAGGGAGGGCTTTAGCCCGAAATCTTTTTATGTATGTATATATATATATATATATATATATATATATATATATATATATATATATATATATATATATATATAAAACGATTATTACTTTGGAAAAAGAAGAAAGATTTTAACGACCTTTACGAAGTTCTGTTTAAGTGATTCTGGAAGTCCTATAAAATGTAATTACACGAATAATAATGCCTTTAGTGATATTTTTTTCATAAGACATGGTTATATTTTATTATTTTGGAGGTGTTCAGCCCAAAAGTCCCTCTCCGGAGATTCACCTGTGGTAAGGCCTAAGTGATACTCACAAAGATCAAAGTTACGCCAGTTGACGGTAATTTAATTATGATTTTATATGTGAAGTATTCGTAAGTCTGGAACGCTATTTTTTCAAAATTATTTTACATTATTCAATTTCTTTTTATATTTATGTGGTGTGAAAGGTTATTCTTTCATATGACTTTACAACCTATTATGTAACCTCTCAATATGTCTTCCGGTTAAGCGAAGATTATCAAAGCCAACAATCATTTTAATGAAACATATATGAAAAATCACTCAGAAATAAAGATTATTTAAAATTAAATTAAATTTCCCACTTTTTACTTTCCTACCGTAACTAAGTAAGGAAAGTATTGCGATCTGGTTAAATATTCCATGTGCGATTTTCAACTGATCTATACATTTCTGGAACTTCTGCCTCCGAAAAACTCATTTTCAGTCTTGGACCTGTCTGTGCCAAGATTATCTCCGGAACTAGTGGAGCGATTTCGCTGCTTCTTTTTTCTTTTGTAGGGTTTTGATACCTGTGACACAAATTGGCTGCTCCTGGCGCAACAGTGGCTTTTCTATAAGAGAAAAACATGTTTCCCTATGGACCCTAGAACAAAAAAGGCACTAACGATTTTGATGAAACTTTCATATAATTATCTACTTAATGTCCTTTCAATTTTCTTACATGTATTAAATTCTCGAGAAAGTTCAGAAAAAAAATTGTTAGTAAAAGAAAAATGTTTGGGTCCTAACTCGCAAAGTATATGTTGTATGGTAAAATTCAGTGCCGGTCTTAGATATTCGGCGCCCCCGGACAATAATGTGTCCTCTCACATAAAAATTTAAATGATTTCTTAAATTGTTTAATATTATGTAATATTGAATTTTATTTCATTCAATAATGCTCTAATACAGTTACTTAATTGATTATTTTATTTAAGTAAATAATTATTTTGATACGTTTTGTATTTTAAAAAAAATTATTTAACCAGTGGCGAGCATCCCTGAAGATCGGCCCTGCCGTGGGATTACCCCGGTTGCTCCACCCTAAGGCCGGCACTGGTTAAATTTATAAAAAATCATTTAAAAATTAATTAAACTACCTTTAAAACAAAACAATATTATGTTATATATGATTCAACATCAGTGGATAGCATAAAAAAAAGAGTTATAAATAACTATTATTTTTATAGCAACATTGTGATTTCTAATATTTACAACCTGTCTGCCAAAATGGATCAAATATATAATTGATGATACAAGTCATTGATAAGTAGCAGGAAATATAGTCACCTTGATTATTTTAACTGATCCTAAATTTATCAAGATACAATCAAGTTGTATGTATTTTTTTTTTTTTTAACAAAAGGCATTGATATTTATATTTTATTTTCATGTTCTGGTAGATTTGGTTAGAGGTGCCATAATATTTTATAATCAATCGCTAAAGTGTCCGATAATTTAGAGTCATGTTATTGTTTTCTCTGTCATAATGTTTCACAATATCTAATTAAAATTTATTTTAATGATCTTAGCCACTACATGTTTGATATTCACAAAAAATAACCATATTACTTATTTTTTTCAGTCTAGTGTTTTATAATTTAAAAACATCCTCATTCATTGAACATCATTACAATATCTTGAAACAATTTTTCATAACGAAATGAAATGGAAAGTAAACTAAGACTAAGATTATTATTCATACTTATCGTCACTAGTGGATCCAGAATTTAATTTTAACAGCTCGAAAGATTTTTTTTTTTCATATACATATAACGATAATTAATTTTTTTTAAAAAGAAAAAAATTAACTACCTATATGAAATGGTGTTGAAGTGGTTCCTGAAGTCCTATTAAATGTAATTAAACGAACAAGAATACTTTAAGAGGTTGTTTTTAATATTTTTTTCTGTATATTTTGCCATTTTGGGGGAGGGGGCTTCAGCCCGAAAGCCCCCCCGTAGATCCGCCTGTGCTTATGGTTTAAAAATTGTCAAATGCTATCCAAACTAAATTAGGACTCATCTGCTAAAACTGTTAAGAATCAGTACATTTTTAATTTTTAAGAGAGGTGAAGTATATTTTAAACTAAATAAACTAAGAGTAAATTATTCTCTTATATAGTGATAGACATTTTTTTAAATATATAAACGTAGTAAGTATGGGTAGAAAAATAGTGAAATATTTAGCTATGATGATTTTGTTTTCTGTTGAGTTTACTTGTCTTGTCGATCTTTCGTCATCTAAACCAGCCTTCTCTACCTCTGTCTATTTTCACCATGCTGCTCTGCAGCATCTTTGTTGATTTGATCTATTCATCTGCTATTGACCTCTCACATGGTCTCTTGCCAACTATTGAGGCATTTATTGTTGAGTTGAGACTACCTGTTGGATTGCTTAAAACTACATAACCTTCTTGTCTTCATATCATAAAATATCGATTGACCAGTTTCTTTGAACAGTTCTTCATTAGTTCTCCTCCTTAATGGACTGGTTCCAATTATCGTCTGGAGGATTTTCTCCACAAATTTTTAATTTTTTTTCCAGGGCTCTTGTTAGTACCCAAACTTCAAAGTTGTATTTCAGAACTAGTCCTATGGTGTGTTCATAGAAAGAAATGTTATTTCTTTCTATGAAGAAAATCAGATTTTTGTATAAATTTATTTCATAACATTGTTAAAAAAACTTCACTTCCACGTGGCACATTTGTTTTTATATTTACAACTACAAACAAAACTGAAAAACTATATTCAACTTAATTTCACATGAAACTTGAATATTAAAATTATCCAAAATAACTCCAAAAATACCACTATATTTTACCTCAGCAATCTCTCCTTCTTATTAGAAGTTTATAAAATCAATAATAATATCAATCTAAATTTCATGGACTTTGAAGGAAAAATAAAGTTTTAATTGTGAATTAATTTTTAAGGAAACATCCCGAAGTTCTTGAAAGACTCCAAAACTGGTAAGGATTTACTTGTGACAGATGGAGCAGACTGCTATAGGAAATGTGATGGGAACCCGAAGATCTGTTATTTTAAACTCAACATTGAAAGATATTCAGTTCTTGGAGGGTAAGCCTTTCATCTAAGAGTTTGTGTTATATTTTATTTATCTTCTAAAATAAGGTAAGGTAAGATAAAAATGAATAAAATAACAGAATACCATGGATATTTTACCTTTCTTTCTCAAGAGTTGATCAGAGCACTTTATTCCAATATCCAGCTTGACATCAACTTTCAACTTTTATTATAAAATGTAGTGATATCTTTTACTACATGTTTATTCTAGTCTTTTTAGTTTATTTATTCTCTCTTAATTTATTTTGATAACGCACATTAACTTCATTTCATTCTATTCAACAATGAAATAAAAAAATTAAAATATGCCATCAAAATCCAGAGTACTGACTTCTGATATCCAGCTTGACTTCAACTTCCAACTTTTGTTTTAAGTGTTGTCTTATTATCTTTTACGGAATGTTTATTCTATTTTATTTATTTATTATCTCTTTATCTATTTTAATAACACACATTTTTGAAAGAAAGTAAATTTCACTCTGGGACATTTATTCCCCTAAGAATAACATACATGAACAATGGCAATTACATGTTATTTCATTATATAAACAACATTATAATACGTTATAGAAATTAAATGATGTGTTAACAACATGGAAATAAAAAAATTAAAAGATAATCTCAAAATCCCCTGATAACTATGTATATTCAGTAATATATATAAAACTATTCGATGCTTTAGAGGAAGGAAAGAAGGAGCATAAATACTTGTTTTCGCAACTTTTACAGGCAAAGCTGTTCCTTCTCTAACAGTAGGCAGCTAATCTAGTGATAAAAGTTAGGCTTAAATAATAAAATAAGTTATAAATAAAATATAAAAAGTCTATCATTAAAATAATTACTAATTATTCTATTCTGTTAGTTCTAGATTAATTACAATACCCTAGCACCTCAGCTTAAATATAAAGGAATTTAAATTCTTTTTATCAGATTACATTCACCAATAATGACTTAACCATTGTGTATTACAGAGCATGTCGCAACTGCAGCTTGGGAGTTACAGAGGATTGTCTGAGGCCACAATGTGTAACAGCTGATGGTTATTATAGGCATATGTTAACTATCAATAGGTCATTACCAGGTCCTAATCTGCAGGTATTTTAATAATTTTTTCATTACTTAATCAAAATTTTGAAAATACCAAATATGAAACATGTGGCAGACCATGAATGATTTTTCCCAATCTTGACCATAGGAATTCTATCATACAGAAATAGAATAAAAATAATTATTTTTTTACATAAGTTTATAAATTGTAATTTTTTTCGAGTAACATTTTTAGTGTCAATAGATTCTTAAAAAAAAAAGAAAATCAATAAATAAAACATATAAAATGAAGCAGCAGTTATTTAATAATTAATATTTTTACTCTATAAATAACAATAGATCTATAACTTTATCTACCCAAGTTGCAGAAGGTAAGCTTCCATTGAAATTGAATAGAAATAAAAAAACAAAAAAACTACTATTCCTTCATGTTAATCAATAAAATAATATGTAATGTTAGCTAATAAATAATGGTTAAAATAGTTAATTGTTTTAAAAATTACAAATCAAGCTATATTGCCCTCTTCCCTAGTTGGATCTAAAGTTAAAGAAATTTTGAATGCTCCAATTAGCGACAGTTTTTATAGAATCAATAATTTAAAATTGTATTTGATAATCACTTTAATGCAGAACACGTCACTGAATAATTAAATTTTCTTTGGTTTATTTTGTATTTGTGATTTATTGTTTAAATTTAATAATTGATTTTTTTTTTAATACTAATTACAAGATTATGAAATTTTAGTTTATAAAAGGTGTTTATTATTGTTTTTTTAATCATGATTATATATTGACCTATGAAAATAATTTTAAAAAACTAACTTAATACCAACTTTCATTTTTAACTCCACTTAAATTTCTTTCTTAGCTGAGAACTTTTCATAGGTACATTAGTATACTTAAATATTCCAGCTGCCTTATAGCACCTCGAGAGATTTTTTCAACACATTTTATGTTTTTTGTTGCAAATTATAAAGCATAATCTACGAGATTTTACTGGATATAAATCTAGGTTCTGAACATGAGTTGTTTTTTTCACAACGAAAAATTATATTACAGTCATATTTTCTGGGAGGAAATGATAACTCTTCTACTCTTCATTCCTAAAGATTTTTTTGATATAATGTGAAAATGTTTGAAATTATCAGAGGAATGATTATGGATAATTTTTAGAAGTCTTTGTTATTATGTATTAATGATTCTCAGGTTTGTCGAAATGACACTGTTGTGGCTGATGTCGTGAACATGATGCCTGATGAGACTACATCCATCCACTTCCACGGGGTCAGCCAGATGGGTAGTCAGTACTATGATGGAGTACCCTATGTAACTCAATGCCCAATCAGTCCTGGTCAGACATTCAGGTACATCTTTGAGGCGGACATGGCTGGAACCTTCTACTATCATTCTCACACAGGTATGTGGTAAAACTTCTTGTTGGTTTTCATTAGTTATGATGAATGAAGCTTAAACCATCAAATACGTAGTGGTACTATAACTCTTGTTGATGTTACATTACATGCCTTTTATTAAAATAAAATATTTTTCAACTCTGGTCTTATAACTGTAATGTGATGTATTGTTATTTATGGCTTGTTCTTTTCAGTTATTTTTAATAAAAATAAAATAAATTACCATTTCTCCTCATTAGAATAGGGTCAAAGTAACAGCTTACTACAACTTTTTAGGTATTAACTGTTTTATGATAGGCTGAATGGATTCCAAATAAAATATTGTAAGAGAAAAATTTCTTGTGTATCAATATTAAATTCCTAGAGAGTCAACTGTAAAATAATGCACATTTGGTCAATTTATAGAAAACTAGGGTATAAATAAAAACAAAAAATACATTTTATAACGTGACAAAAGAAAACATATTTTCTAGTTGTTATCTTCAGTGCCATAATTTTTTTATTTAAGCCACAAAAAATTATCTTAGCTTTTAGATTTTAGATTAGCTATCTAGACCAATTCTCAAGCCTGTAAAACTGAATATCTGTTGTTTAATTGCATTTCAAGTTTAACATATACATCATATATTTAATAACTTGCCTGCAAATACATCATTTTACTTTATATAATTCGGGATATTTTGATTTTAATTATAATTATCTATCCATTTATTTTTACCAATTTGAAAATTGATCTAAAGAACTGAAACACAGAGAAAACAAAAAAGATTTGTAGATGCATATTAGTCTAAAATTTATGTAAATAATAAATAAATATATTATACAATAGAAAATAATTGAAATATCTTTGTTAGGTATTCAGAAAATGGATGGGTTAACTGGACCCTTCATTGTCCGTGACTTGGAATCTGCTGAGGACCCAGACAAAATGTATGATGAAGATTTACCGGAGCACACAATACTCATATCTGACTGGAGTCATATTCCTGGTGAAGGCTTCATACCAGGCTATAACACTCCTGATATTAGACAAGTTCCAGTGACGTTCTTGTTTAACGGACGTGGAAGGCACCATGTAAGAATGATTTTATTAAAATGAAACTTTTGAAAAAGAAAAAAAATCAATTTATATTATATTGCTTTCATACAGGATGCAACAAAAGTTCTTCCGCTTGCTGAGTACAAAGTTGAGCCAGGTAAGAGGTATAGATTTAGATTGCTGGGCTCTACATGTATGACTTGCGCAGTTGTTCTCCAGTTTGAAGGCCACAAGATCATTGCAATCACATCAGATGGTGGTCAAGGTTTCAAACCCATTTCTGTAGACTCTGTATTGATCAATTCAGGTAATGCTACATTTATTTTATCTGTTATTTTGTTATGTCTTAATGCCACATGAAATATATCTTCTTTTTGAAATAAAATCATTAAAATAAACTCTTTATTTGTGAAGGAGACAGATTTGATGTAATAATAAAAGCAGACCAACCTTTGGCTACATACAGGATTATAGCAACTAGCTTAACTGACTACTGTGATGGCCTAGAACAAGTTGCATACTTGATATATAATGGCAGTGATGAAGTAAATCTTTTAGGAGAGGTTGTCGACAGGCAGGCTAATGACTATGGAGTGGTAAGTGACTGAATAGGAATATCTATAAATGTTAGTTTAACATAAGGTACCTACTAATAAAAATGGAATAAATCAATCTTTTTCTTGAAAATTAAATTATGTTAAATAAAAGTTTTAGGTAATATTTGCCAGCTGGCAAATTCTTTACATTCAATCATAGTTAGATTTGAAAGATTTTGTTGATCTTTCAGAAAAAAAAATTGAAAATATTGATTTTTAACAGAAACGGGTAAGTGCCAGTTGTCCTCATTCCTGATGCTTAATTAAACATTACAAAAATATTATTCTTGAATAAAAATTAAACAAGAATTATTTGACAAAGACCCAAGCCAGTAACTTTAACAGTAAGCTTTGACACAAGAAAATAATATTAAATTTTCCTGTGTGTTTTATTTCTTGATGTTTTAAAAGTTCAGCTCAGTTTGAAGAATGGAGAATTTTGTATTTACAGAGAATCTTCACCCCAATTTTCCCTGAGTCTAATCAATGCCTAGTTTATTAAATTCAGACATGTTTTTTCATTATTTTTTTTATCACTATATCTAAAAAAAATCTGGTGCACGCAACACACAACTTTCACTAACCTCTCTACTTTGAATAGAAATTATTTTCTGCCAATGTTGGGCTATTATAAAATTTTTGAAGTGTATTTTAAATGGAGCTAAAGCTTAAAGCTTACAGATAACAAATCATTAAGACCATTGAAATTACAAAAAGTCTATTTCAACATTTTGAGTAATATCATTTTAGTGATATTTCTAGTTGGAAACGTTATATCTACACAGTGAGTAAGTTGATTCTAGAATAGGTTATTGCAGTGTTGGAATATAGAACTGTGAATAAAGATATAAATTTTGCCTCTAGAAACATCAGTAAAAATAATAAAAACAATGTTAAAATGGAAGTTATTCATTCTGTCATCTGAAAGGCTCATATATGCCTAGCGAGATTTGAAAGTATTGCATAACTAAATATTTAACCCTTAAATGATTATGGTTTTCCTCAGTTTCCAATTTTCATATTCTTTCAAACTGTCAATAAACGAGAGTTAATTTTTTTAAATAATCCATGTTAAAGTGACATCAATGTGGATAAGACCTAATTGATATTAAAGGCCACTTAATTGTAAAATGATACCATCTTTTTTCTGGGAAGTTGTAAGTTATTCTTTGTTATTTGGCAATGATGACTTCCAATTAACAAAAATTGAATTTATTTGTTGTATTTTCAAATTATATGTTTACAAGTTAATGTTTCGGTTCAAGTTAATTAAAATTACAATGATTTTTTGTTGATACATGGCTTAAATCTAATGTGCTCCATCGTCAGGTTCTAATTCAAGTTATAATAAATTAAGTTATATAACATCCAGAGCAGCATCATGCTTTTAGACCAGTTATTATAAACATGTCTGTATAAAATGATAGTTTAATCAAAATTGTTAGAACCCTTTTTGAGAAAAAACGTGTTTTACCGTTGATATATAGGAGCACTTCCGGTTAGCCGCTTTTAAGTTGTTGTGACATCTGAGACATATAAAAACCTTAAATATGCAATTTCACTTTCTTAGGACTTTTTGTTTTTGAGCTAGACTACTAACACACACACACCATTGTGCGGGACTTGGTTATTTGGACTCAGGAGACCTCAAAACATGTATTTCCATTGAAAACTCAGATTAAAACATTTTCATGATCGCAATACGTACCCTTATTTCATATATAGGTATGTGAAAGTAAAAAGTTCTTGAGTGTTTTAAATATTTCAGTAGTAATTTGATAGAAATTACGATAATGATATCAAAACATTCATTCCATATCTGGACAGTAAGCTAGTCTTCATCTCATTAGAGGTAATAATGGTAATACAGATATATATTATAATTTGATATTTGTTTTAGATATTAAATGCTGGACTAAGGATTTGCAATTCACCCGGCTCAGAGCACATCTGCCTACATCACTTGGAAGGAGATACTGATGCTCCAGCAATTGGCAATAAGCCTTATGCTAAGTTCAATATTTCCTTTGGATATTATTATTATGAAGATGATGATCTGTTTAAAGAGGGAACTTATCAGCATTACGACGGTAAATATCAGTGAAATGCCTTTTATGTGTTCCAGTAGATTCTTAATTTCTTTAACACTGAAGTTCACCTTGGTTACCTAAATACCACAGCTCATTCATATACTAACAAAAGGATATAAGACAAACGTGATATCTTTATAATTGAACCCAAAAGTGTAATAAAGAACCAACCAACATTTTTGTGATATTTTATTTTACAAGCTCTATCGATAATTTTTCAAGAACTAAATTTTGCAACAAAAACTCTAGGTACTGTGTTTCTATTACTACTAAATTTATATATGCGAGTCTTGAGTTGTGTTGTTAAATGAAAATTCTTGAAATAATTATTGATATATCTTACAAAACACATTTTAATTTAATTCTTCTGTTCATTTTTTTATGTTTAATATAAACATAAATTTAATTTGTTTAAAAAAAAATTCCCCATAATCAAATATTTTAAAATTTTAAAAAAAATTATGTTCTTCATGATCTTCAGAAATAAAATTAAATACTGCCCATTTCAGAGTCTACACATGCTAATAGACTGAAGTCATTAGTCAACAATATCTCCTTCACAGCACCTCCTTCGCCTGTCCTTAGCCAACTGAGTGACATACCGGCTTCGTCCCTCTGCAATGAGGAGTGCTACTCTCCCAACATCCAGAAGTCTTGCAGTTGTCCTAATCTGTACAATATCCCTCTTGGAGCTGTAGTCGACATAATAATTTTTGATGATGGTAATTTTGATAATGAACAATATTTAACACTTAAACAATGCATACAACAAACGTAAATAAATTCTTAATTTAATTTTCTTCAGGATACCATGGGGTTCCAAGTTCATTTGATCATCCATTCCATCTCCATGGATATGTCTTTTACATTCTGGACATAGGCCTGTTCAAAGATGGCTTTGATAACAGGGAGAATGAAGTGGGAGAAATGAGCGCCAAGCTCCATGAAGATGGTGTGGACCTCAAAGGAAAGCCGGTGAAGGATACCATCAGTGTACCTGCAGGAGGATATGTCATTATTAGGTTCATTGCAGACAATCCAGGTTAATAGCTCAAGTTTTTTATAAAACCAGGACTAATTGTTGAACAACCAGTTAATTCTTTAATTAGCTATCTAGGTAAACATACAAATAATGATCAGCCAAATGTAATTATTCACATCTATAATTTTATTTTCAGAACGTCTTTCTTAAGGACTGTTTAACAGACCTGTATCCATTGAAAAAAAAAAAAAAAAAGTTCTCACACCTCAACTCTTTCATTTTTTTGTTTATTTTTCCTTAATAACTCACTATAACTAAGAACTCATACATATTCTAAATCACACACCTTATATTATGTAATTTTATGTCACTTTTCATTAATTATAACTAAAAGTAAGATAGGTTTTCATTCTATAATTTTAATAGGTCCAAGTGAACTGAAATTATTGCTTATTTAAAAATCTTTAATCTCCCATTCTAGTTTTTTATTATTTTTTAAATTAATAATTTTCAAAGTACGTAGACATTTCTTTTTGGATTCTAATTCTAGTTTTAATTACAGGCTATTGGCTCTACCACTGCCATTTTGCATTCCATTTGGAGACTGGAATGGCTGCTCTATTCAAAGTCGGGGAAGATAAGGATTTTCCACCCGTACCTGAAGGATTCCCTAAATGTGGAAACTTCTTGCCCACTACAATTTAAATGAACTCAAATAAACAGATGTATATGTTGTACAAAGTCTTTAAACTTTTTATTGAGATTTTTTAATAAATTATATATTTATATATTTTTTTGTTATCATTATCATTGATAAACAACATACAAACAACAAAATAAAAAATTTTAAGAAAAATTGTCAATGCACCTAAGTACATTTCAAATAACACTACAAATGACTTGAACGTCCCAACAGTAAAATCCTACATCCATGACAAATACCCTTTAATCCTAAATAACTTTAATCCATTAGTCCTTTCTATTTCCTGCTCTCTATTATTTGATCGATGCAGACTAAAAAGAAAATGACCAAGAGACCTACTGCAATAAATACAAAATGAAGCTAATCAAGCAAACTCACAACTAATTCCTATATCAAATTTGCTAGATGTGCTGCAGCACAGGTGCAAATGGTAAAAAATGTTAAATAAAAAATAAATAAAATTATCATTGTATATGCCACAAGAGACTAAAAATGCACCATAATTATAAAATAAATTTATATTAAATGCTCTTTTATGATAATCACTCAGATGAAGTGATGCAGCTCACAGAGAAAAGCGCTGTGTGTGACAGATAATTATCTTTTTTGTGTATCAGACACAGATATAAAGAATATACCTCTATAAAAAAATTACTCTTGATTAAATAATTAATCAAGAGGAAAAGCTTGGTGTTTGACTGTGATCACTGTCAAATCACAACTCTTGAACCAAGAAAATGTACTCTTTAAAAAGTACTGGCTCTTTTTTCTCTTCTAACATTAGGATTTCATAAAAAAGGGAAATTTTTTATCAAACCCTAGAAGTTCTGACTTTTTCAGGTGAGGAAGGTTAAAGGTGAGAGGAATGGACAACCATGAAGAACGCCAAAAACGGCGGGAAATTTGATTTGAATTCTCAAAAAGTCGACTGAGGACCTTGACTCACTTGAGGTTGAAAAAACAGATATTCTAGATGTGAAGATAACTATCGGCAAGCTTAAAAGAAGAAAATTTATAGGGGTCGATAGTATACCATCAGAACTGTTTAAGGATGGGGGCAACATATAAAATCCAAGCTGAGAAGAACCAATCCAGAAAATATGGGAATAAGAACGGAAATGAGAGGCCTGAAATAGAGGCCTAATTTGCTATTTCCTTAAGAAGGGCTCCATTCCCGAACGTGGTAACTGCAGAGGCTTCTTCCGGTCTCTTATAAGATAATAATTAATATTCTGCTAAATGGGATGTATCCGTACTATGAAAAAATTATGCGTGTCTACGAAGCAGGGTTTAGAAAAGAAAGGACCAAGCTACCTTAGATCAGATATCCATCCTAAAACAGGTACTTGAGAAACAATGGGATGTAGATCAGGACATATACGCCTTTTGTCGACTTCAAAGCATACAAGAAGAAATATTGGAAGCGTTTGAAGTTCGAGTAGGATCGACGATGCTGTTCAATTTTAGGCATGGAGAAGATGATAAGAGCAGTATCTTGTAAAGATGTAGATGTGCACGTAGGAACACTAGCGGATCCAGGATTTAATTTTGGGGGGGGCTTCAGAACGAAAGCTTATTTTTTTCATAAAAATAACGATAAATAGTTTGGAAAAACAAAAAGAAACTAACTACCTATATTAAATGGTGTTTAAGTGATTCCTTAAGTCCTTTTAAATGTGATAACACGAACAATAATACTTTAAGACGTATTTTTAAATTATTTCTTTTCATAAAACATGGTTATATTTTACCATTTGGAGGGGGGCTTTAGCCCGAAAGCCTCCCTCCCCCGTAGATCCGCCGTGCGTAGGAATGAAAGATAAAATTCTAACATGTGTGGGTGATATAACTGTCTTAGGGAGCAATCAACAGAATGTTGAGAGATTCGCTTCGATTCTGATAAAGCAAGACAAATCGCCCTACAAGTAATTGAATATTAAAAAAATATATTATAGCTAGCAGAAAATTCCGCCCCAACATCAGGATTATAAGTCATTCCCAAAAGTGGACTGATTCTAACACATTAGATCTACAATAACCTCATTGAATGATTAACTAACGGAGATAGACCAGTGTATAACAAGCGTAAACAAAGTTTTCCCCTCTTTTTGGAAGATATTGAAATCGAGGAAAATCTCTAGAAATCTTAAATTACGGGTGTACAACTCCAAGACTTATGATGTAACATTGCGAAACCTAGGCTCTAACCAGCACTCTCGAAAACGAAAGTGAGAGATTCGAAAGAAAAGTCTGAACATTGGCACTTGGAGGCGGATCCGTCAAACTTGCTTTCGGGCTGAATCCTCCGAAATAAAACTTTTTTTTCCTCGGTCCACATTTGTTTCTGTGAGTGATCTGATCTAAATAAGCAATCAAAATATGTACTCTTTTTAAATTATGTATATCTGCTTTTATTTTTTTATTATTTTTTTTTTTAATAGGCCTACAAGTACCACGTAAACATTATTTTACATAGTTTCCACCATTTCATTTCAGAGTAATTACTATTGCTTAAAAAAAAAAAAAAAAAGCAAACTCATTCTCCTCAGAATTAAATCCTGGATACGCTACTGCATGGTGGGGAAGGAATAATAAGAACTGCTAATATAAATTGGTCAGTCAATATCATGATGTGAAGGCAAGGAGGTTAAAATGGGCGGGGTATGTAGCCCGAAGGATGCCACTACAGAACAACTAGTAGGCAAGAGACCACGAGGGAGTCCAAAAACCAGATGGAAAAATAGAATCAACAAATATGCTGCAGAGCTTCATGCCGCAAAAGACAATAGTCCAAGATAAGCGGCGATGGAGAAGGCTGGTGAAGGTGGCAAAAGAAATAAAAGTCTCTAAAGCCAACAGGTAAAAAACAAACATATATTTCTACTCCCTTTTGCCCTTTATTTGTACGTTTTAATTTTACCGATAAATAATTATTTTATGTTTTCATTAACATCAGTGAGGTACGATTAATTTACTCTATTGATCAAAGAGGAATATATTAATTGTACCGTATCATTAAAACAATAAAAACCATATCTGTCAGGAATTAGGCATTATTGCTCGACAGCGATAACAAAAAATATAAAAGGGTAATTTGACGGATCGGCCAATTTAGGGAGAGCTACCACTGACAGAAGAATGGTTGACGTCTTCAGGCTGCTAGCAATTCTATTGGCGGGATATGTCGTGGCAGGTTGGTCATCATTCATGGTACTTTGGTAATATCCAGAATACGAAGAAGATAACATTTAAATTTTTATATTTTAAAATTTATTTATTTAAATTTTTTTCAGAAGTTATTTAATATTTTTAGAAAATGAATACAGTAATACTTCCATTTTGTACTTCTTCATTCGTTAACTGATCCATCTAATCACTGTTGACGTTTCGCGTAAGCAATTTAACGTTCTCGCTCAAGAACCTAGAAGAAATACCACATACTTCAAGTGTTAATCGGCAAAATACGAATACTGCCAAGTTCCCTTAAGTTTCCATCTTCCGTATTGCCAGAAAGCAAGGTATGGAAGGAATAAATATATAACGTTAACGTTTAAGGGACAAATTAATTCGACTTTTATGCTATTTTAGACTACAACATTGAGACTAATACTTTTCTGATTCCCGGACATCTCACTTACTTTTGAGGTCATGATGGCTGAGCATGTTAATTAATGTGTAAACTTTAACATTCTCGAGTCTAACGAAATCGGTTCAAATTCGGCCTGAGCGTGTTAAAAATTATTTTAGGAATAAATCTCGACCTTCTCACTCTGATTAGAATAGGTTTGATTGTACCACAAGAACAACCCCCCATATGTCAGAAATACCGATATAGGGGTATCGAGAAAGAAGAAGAGCTAGTTGATATTAAAAAAAACATCTATATAGCGAATTTTATAAAAATTGTTGGAGCCGTTTTTGAGAAAATTGTAAAAACGATGATATGAAGAGGCATTCCCGATTAACCGAATTTATTGAAAAAGTTGGTGTAACACCCGAGATATGTACCTTAAATACTAAATTTCAGATTCGTACGGCATATTATTTTTGAGCTAGGTGGTTCACATATGGGACTTGGTTATATTGGTACGCAGAGAAATTTTTCACGATCTCAATACTTTATCCTACTATAATTGAACGAAGTTCATATTAAAGCCTATTCCACACGGAACATTGTTGCCTGAGGATGTTTAATGTCCTGATTCAAGGTCCTCATTAATTATCTAAAAATCGTGGAAACGGAAGACATTTGTGCTACCATTAAGCCATGTGCTAATTATCTTGGTAAGGTATTCGGTTTATAAATTGTTAATTTAATTGAAGCACCTACGATCGATTTTTCTCCAGAAAAGTAAATTTGTTTAATACCGTATGCCAGAAATGGCGAGGTAGGATGTAAAAATAAATATCCAGTGATTTTGGCTATTTTCTACGAGTAGTTGCAAGATCCATTAAATTTTCGATTTCTCTGCTCCCTGACACCTTCCAAATGTAGTTTTCTCTACAAATGTTTTGTATACTTTTAAGATTTCGAAACAAAGTATATCTTTACTTATAAGTTGTTTAAAGTTAAAGCCTCCGTCATTTGTTCAAAACTTACATCCTGATAATTGGAAAAAATCTCATATTCTGCAAACGTAAATTTAACACTGCTTTTTAATTTTTTTATTTTATTATTCATACATTATAGATTGTAACTCTATGCTCAAATTGGAGTAAAGTGTATTGTAAGAACGAACATAATAATTAGAATTACCTATAAATGGATAATAATTAAATATTAAATTTAATTAACCGTGTCCACTCACCTTCCTCCTTCTATATAATAAAGAGTAAGGTGGCCAAAAAGTCCCGAATTTCGGAAAAAAATGTGCGACAAGCTAGGGAACGCGAGGAGAACTGGAAGAAAATATTCGGTTTTCGGCGGACATGTGGCTAATTTGCCAGGGTATCAGTTTTATATTATTTTTCTTAATTTTACAATGCTAAAGTTTTATAATACCGAATAATTATTGAGAAATGATTAGCATTATTGACCAGTTGTTAGAATTCGACCACCATTGTTTGGACTTGATAAACAACAAGAAAATGATCTTTTTAATGCGGTATCGTTATTAAAAAAATGTATTGATAAGGAAAAGGTTAAATCTTGGGCATCAGCAAATTTACTTCATTTGCTACTTCGATCACCGATTTTTTTTTTACGTTTAATAAATTGTATGCATAGGTGACAAATACCAGAGGTTCCCAGGACTTTTTGCATTTTGAAAAACAGCTGCTTGATTGTGTAGAAACTGCTGACACAAAACATTTAAGTCTTAAAAACGGTGTTATTACTGAACATATAAATTAGACGTCAAATACATCAAATTATTCGCTCCTAAAATTTTAAGAAGTCAATTCTCTGCCTTATTTTAGCTGAATATTATGTCACCTGGTTAAAATTTGCACTGCAGATGGATTAAAATTAAATATTGTAACTACAAATTTGGACTATCCTTCACCTCCCCCCCCCAGTCAATGGTGCTCCTCTTTACCAATGTTAAAATCTGGTCACCTTAATATAGACGCTTGTTGTATAAAATATTTATTTATCTTTTTTTTTTTGTTGTAAACTTTACAGTATAACTACATAATGACAACAACTCATAACTGTTAGTCAGTGGTACAGACCCCATTTTATCAAATTATTAACATCCTTATAAAACTTCGTGAATGGCTTCACTTTTCGGAAGGTACAAATTTTTTGTGTAAGAAAATCTTTGATATGGAGATCGATAAACTTGTCTATTTAATGAAGTACTAAAAACTCATAAACACTCGTTTGCTTTTCACTTGAATCATAAGATAATTTAAACAGAAAATAGAGAAAAAAAGGCAGCCTACAAAAATATTGGGATACTAAATTGTAGCATTTCCTGATGTAAACGAAAATAAATAACTGTAACATACAACTATAAACTACGCATTAATATTAAAATATACAGTAACTCTAAGCTCATTTTTGGTTGGATACAAATGATTGTATTTGTACTCAAAGCAAGAACCACTTTCAAGACTAAAGGATGGAGAGATGTAATCATTACAGGTATCAAGATACTGATTACCTGTTGGACTGTGGCTGCGTATCTCAAAATTTTAGAAGAAAAAAAAAAGTTTATGATTCCGTTGAGTGAAATATCTGATGTAATATATCCCTCTTTGCAGGTTGAATTGAATATGGATATTTATATTTCACTGTCGTAATTTCCTTATTAGCTTCATTATTCCTCCTTTACAATGAGTGCACAACATTCAGTAACAATTATGAAATTATCTCTATTTGTCACTGGTTGAGTCATAGTGTACATGCAATGCATCATTTGTAAAATTATTAGCTACTTTACAAGCTTTTGGGCAAACTTCAATACTCAAAAGGAAGCTTTTAAATATATATGTATGTTATCCCACAAGCAGTTGTTAATTTTATTGCCATCAATAATTTTTAAGCTACTTCAGGATATTTTGACAAATATGTGCACACTTCTCCAAAACACCAGTGGCTCAATTAGGTCAAGTGCCTCCCAAGGGAAGATTCAGGATAGCCACCTCCTTCCCAATATTATATATATTTTGTTATAGATATCTCAACTTTCAGCATGAACTGCATACCAATAATTTATTATCTGGCTTCCCTATTGATTTTTATCCTTTTAAAATCAGATATTTTATTGAAAATAGTAGTGACTTTGAATAAATGGATGTTTAAAATATATTTTTTGAACTCAGGTAACTATGATTTATAATAGATATGTCTACTTAATTTTTGCTTAAGGTAATTCTATTAAACATCTGTACCACCAATACTAAGGGTACGGATCCCTCCCTCTCTCATGATAGGGTGGTTAGCCCCCCCATTCTATCATGGGACAGGGGAACCGTAGGGGCTTGCCCCGGGCCTGTGACCATTCATGGCCTCTGGGACCTTAGGTCCGAAAATGGTACTACGGGCTGGTAGTCTGCCTCCTTCAGGCAATGACTACATGGGCTGGGGCCGCTTGGCGGTACGCCGGTTGCAGACGTAGTGGTCGTGTGTTAGATGCTCCCCAGTAGTATGACCCCAGTTGTTCTGGTTACTATCTACTGCGGTGCAGAAGCTAGAGAAGTAGGTTTTGTCTTTTCCAAGGATGCCATCAGGTGGTATCCTTACCTATTGGTCGTGGAGTGCAGGGATAGGAAAGAGTCCGGTTAAGGCCCTCAGGCTAGGCACGACTTCTTTCCGTTCCCGTCCTCTATACGATGTACACACCTGTACCACCAATACCAATACCGAACACCTAAATAAAATTTTAAATTCAAATAATCATGAGCTGTTCCACAAAATTCGGTATAAAAAAATATAACCATTTTCTTAATACAATATAATTTCCATCACAAAGTATCTTCCCTTAGTGTTAGTAACTTAATATTTAAAGGAGAGATTATGAAAATAGTTTTCAGTGGACTTTAATATCTCATAAACTTGTCTAGGATCCAAATTATTTGGAAAAATGATTCTTAAATTATCATGTTAATAATTTTGTGATGTCTTGAAAATTCAGTAAAAAAAAATATGCTTTTCTCTTTCTGTTTTTGCAGATCCAAGAAAAAAAAAAAATGATACCTATGCTAGATGTATATTTTAAAAATGGTGAAAAGGGAGTTGATATATTTTTTCATATCCTCAATTATGAATTGCAAAAAGATTAGTGTCCTTGAAACTGGAACAAAGTAAATAAAAAGCCCAAGAAATCATCACCTGAGATACTAACCTCATTAAGCAATAAAACAAAAAATTTTGAGTTGTTATTACTGATAAGTTTAATGATGTACTCTTGAGGTATTATGATATCCCATGAATGTCAAATATTGATCTTTTTGAATTACTACAGCAAAGAAGGAAAATATTCCATTCAGTTGACAAATGTATTAATCCTTTGCAATTGCATTAAACTTTGATTAATGGTGCAGTAGTACTTGAGTTTTATTGTGTAAGGGCCTCTTAAAAAGATTCAAGAAAATTGTATTTCAATTTAATGTTTTCTTTTTGATTAAGAAAACAATGTTTAGAATAACTTAACCTTGTAGTTAAAATGAATCTGGACTCTTAATTTTTTTAAAGTTGTTAATGAACTGAGGATGGTATCACATTATAGATGGAATATTTTAGAACTTAACAAGAACTTAAATACATTCATAACTAATAAGAGATCAGGATTGGTGTCTTCCTAACAAGGAATAGGGAGAAAAAGTTGACAAAGAAAAGGAGAGGAAAGGAAAATGTATGAGTATTCAAAACAGTTTTTAAAGTAAAATAAATCATCATAAAATTGTATATGGAACTAAAAATATTTTAAATTAAATAAATCTTTTTATTTAATTTAATCTCACTCCTGTAACATCGAGCTTCAATTCAAGAACAAAAGTAGTTTGAGATTTATGGTTGGTCAAACAATCTTGTAAATTTATATATTTACACACACACACACGCTCCTTTATATATATAATTATTATTATAGTCATTTATTTTTATATGTGAATTCTAAATAATCATTAATAAATCGTAAACAAGGGTTACTTTAGGACTAAGGGATTACAATATACTAGAGTTTATTTTGAGTTTGAAATCACCTGGTAGACTGGAAAATTGTTATATCAAGACTAAATGAAAGATGTCTCAATATAAAAATGTTTTAGCCAGCTAGGTAATTTCAAATTCAAAATAAAGTCTAATACATAGTAATCCCCTTGTTTCAAAGTTACCCCGGTTGATAGTCCATTAATTGGTAAAGCAAGTCATGAAATTGTATGCAAAAATACAAGAAAAATAAGAAAAAAGCTATAAAAATTCTTTTTTCCTCCGTCAATAAAAAAATCTTTCAAATTGATTTAGTACTGTAAACCGTATTTAAAAAAGACTCAGGCTAAAACTAAAGAATCACCGAAAACACAATTACAACATATTATACTTTTAAATCATAATGCATAAGATTTATAGCTTGGTTAATGTAGACTTAAAACTCAATTAAAGAGGGGAAGACTATCTGTTACTATGAGATATCTCTACCCACAAACCCTAGTGTTAGCTTCTAAAATTAAATTCTGGATCTGCAACTGGTAAGATGAGCTGCTGAATAATAATTTAAATTTTTCCTTCTGATTGTGTCATAACCATATTATTTCATACCACTTTTTTTCATCACATTTTCTCATAATCCTCTTATCGTGAAATTATAACACTTTTTACACAGTTTTTTAATGGCCCTTCTTTGTTAAACTTTATCAATATTTAGATTCCTTAACAACTCTCACACTTATGGATGATATTCTTCCAATGTTGATTCTGTCGTTAATAATAATCATCCAACAATTTTTATTAAGTTATGAAACAACTATTTGATTGGAGTATTTTTTTATTTATTTTTTAATTTTAATTTTTTTTCTATAAATGGTCTGATATTTCCAAACCTTTAGTTGATAGTTCAGCAATGCATGCTTGATTCTTAACATATAAGGAAAAACTAGTCTCATTGACTATCAGTCATAGAACACATCATTCAAAATTCTAGCAAACATCATTTTCAAAAGTTACTTTGTTTTTTAAAAAGTCTTATTACTAATCTATGTTGAATTTGGCTTCTTAAGCTAATCCCAGAGAACCTGAAACTATCCCAGTCATATATGGACTATCAAAAAAAAGAAAAGAAAAAAATTAATTCTAATGCTCTACTACTTAAAAATTCCAATAAAACTTTACAATCATTTCAATTTGAAAATTGTAAATAATCACTGATTTATTTTTTTAAAAAATCTATCTTAACACATAAGTAGATTGTCAGTGAAATTGGTGTGCCTGAATATAAAAAGTTTGTGTAGTAGACAGTACATTTCATCCCAAGCATTGCATTGGTGCAACAAACCAATCTTGAGTTTCATTTGGGAGTGGAAGGCACTCTCCAATATATCAGTACTTTTAGCTCAAATATATTCAAAATACTAACTGAATAGTTTAAGTCATTTAACTTAATGTGTTAACTTGGTATGACAAAGTATTTTGTCAGACGCGAACTATTACTACAATAGGCATAACAACATTTTTTGTCATGAAAATTTGTGGAAATATTTTGAATGCATTAAGTTTTAAGTAATTCTTATCTTTTAAATCCTAGCCTAGTTGTTTGCGAGCATATTGTTTAGGTTTATGGTATCAGTCTGATGTTTTCTCCAGTTAACAGGTTAAAAATTAGTCTAGCTGTTAGCCCAAAAAATTATTAAATACCTAAAGAGGCTTTGCTGTCGTTCAGTAAGCATGTATCTGTTTGATTTTTAAAGTTAAAGTATGTAATATAACAGAGGGATATTCAATTACATTAATCCTGCAATAATTGTATATTATTAACCATCATTACAGATAAAACTTATTGAATATTATTGAAAACCAATAATAGAAGGGTGGTAGGCATAAATTATGCTTAAAATGATTATTTTAGAATTAAACATTATGTGATATTTGAATAATCATATAAGACTGCAAAGTAAATGAATAACTATGAAAATATTATACAATTGATAATAATAAATAAATAATAATAAATAAGAAGAAAAAAAGAAGAGTGAAAATAATAATGATAAAAATATATAATGTTTGAAGAACAAGGTCTTAAATTTTCCATCCTCAGCTGGTTTGCCAAAGCCTGTCAAATTTCAACAAGTCAGATTTAAGTTTTTTGAAGAGTATATATTTTTGTTATATCCATTCCTCATTTTATTATTACCTACATTTGTATTAGTTCTAATGTTAGCCTACCATACATCTAAAAGATCCAGTTATGTGCATGTAGTAAGTGTTTTTTGTTGTAAATAAATATAAAATAAACCACCAATTTTCAATCTCACTTTCTCCTTCTCTCTCTAAAATAATGCGGTGAAACACAGTATCATAGTAAGCTTATGCATAAATAAGTACAATTATAATATTATGTGCTTCTAATTTTTTCCAACAAAAACCTTTGAACAATATATAACTAATATTTATATAAAATTGTTCATAGGCCAGGTCTCAGACGTTCAACTCACTTCTGATGCCAGTAATGGAACTAATATTACTAGAGGAGAAGAATGTATGAGAAAATGTGATGGTATTTCTAAAAACTGTTTCTTCATATTTGTTATTGAAAGATATATAATTCTTGGAGGGTAATAATAATAATAAACTATTTTATTAAAATTATATTATTATATGTGTGTATGTTTCATAAAGAATTTAATTTTCATTAAAATACATTTTTTTTTAATTTTTTGTTAAGGACCTATTAACTTTTATTTTAAATAAGTAATCTTGTTACTTGTTAAGTTAAAATAATAATTTGAGCTATTAGGCACCAAATAAAATTAAAATTCCAAACATACATTATAAAAACCAAAATTAATTTCTTTAAAAGGAATTTTAATCTTTACATATAATAAAAAGAAATGTAGGCAGATTGATTTAATTTGTTTTGGATTATCTGAGAATGATAATAATTTTTTTCACCCATAAGTTAATATTATTGAATACTTAAACATATAAAAAAATTGAAACTATAAATTGTTTTACTTCTTCAATCCTTTTATCCATGTTTTCTTTCTTATTTATAAAATTATTCATTATAAAATTGTCATAGCTAGGCTATCTGATATAAGTGTGTCCTCTCAGTGATGTCATTAGGGCCAGCCAACCCTGAGTACACCCCTGAGAGATTCAAACTAAAGAGGCATATACCATTTGTTGGAAATCATAAAAATTATTAAAATGTATAGCCTACATTAATTTAGCCTATTAATAAGATACATATTGAACAAAATACAATAGCCAAGTGTCTAAGGTACAGTGTACACATTAACCTTGTCCTACAGAACTATGTCAGCATTTTAGAAATTATTTTCATGTCCGGAATCTAGTTCTATTTAAGTTTATTTTTTAATATAATTTAAAAAAAATATTTTTCCACTTACACAGCATTTGTTTAAAATATACTTCACTTTATGTTTTGTTTGTTTTTTATTCATATATACTTTTTTAATAAAGATTTCTTTGCCCATTAGTTTTGATCAAAATAGTAAATATAAGTGTAGAAATATTTTTAAATTGATTCTAATGACATATTACTTTCATTCACTCAACTAAATATAACTTAAAAATATCAACCAATTTTAATCAATTTTGCCTTTAAAAACATTTTGAAGTTCACTATAACATTTATTTCTTTATTATCCTCTCCTGTCTTTTGACAATACATTCATGGATTCAGTACTACAATAAAAATTGCACTACAACTTGACAATATACAATTTCTCTCTATTCATTTTGAAATAAGAAATATTGTTACAATATATATATAAATTTTTTTGTATGTATATGTATATCTTTTTGCGTAACAGTTTACGAATATTTTTAAATAGAATCTTATTTTTAGAGCTTGTCGAAACTGTAGGAATGGTGTTATAGAAGACTGTTTTTTACCGCAATGTGTTACAGCTAATGGTTTTGAAAGACCTTTCATTAGTGTGAACAGGCAAATCCCAGGACCAACGATTCAGGTAATCACGAAATGAAAAATGACTATTTTTTATTTTGTGTTGTTATTTAAAAAAATTATGTTAGATCAAAAATTTTCAGTTCTAATTATCATTACCCTAATGCATAGAAATTATTATCATAGCAAATGAATGGTACTTACTTAATAAATGGTACTTACTTAATGGTACTTACCATGAAGTTATACAAGAAAATAAAATATTTTAAAAAAATATTAAGAGCTAAAAATACTGAAAATGTTCCCTACACAATTGAGGATAAAAAAATAAAGCCTGCTTACATGTTTATCAAGGTACATAATGAGTATACAACATAATAGGAGAATCCATCTGCTGTTCCTTCTGCGTACCATATTAACATCAATTATACAATTTATTATGAGTGTCCTCCAATAAAACTTTTATAGCTTCAAACTGCTGTGATTTTCTTCAATTGACAGGACCTTTATTATAAGTTTGCCCTTATAATAGTAAATATGTTTTTTAGATCTGCCAAGGTGACAGGCTGATTGTAGATGTTGTAAATAAAATGCCAGATGAAACCACAACTATTCATTGGCACGGTTTCACTCAAAATGGTAGCCAGTACTATGATGGTGTTCCCTTTGTTACTCAGTGTCCAATCCTACCAGGGACTACCTTTAGATATAATTTCGTGGCCGATACAGCAGGAACATATTTTTATCACTCACATATTGGTAAGTGATAAATTTCACTGATATGGTAACAATTAAGAGTTGATATATTTATTTAATAATTATTATTAGATCAGTGAATTAAAGATTTTCTGCAAAATAAATTATATTTTTACATTTCACTTTTGAATATTTCAGCTGTACAAAAACTAGATGGACTTGAAGGAGCTCTTATAGTCAGAGAGAAAGAAATAGAAGATCCACTCTCTTCTTTATACGATGAAGATCTTCCTGAGCATGTGGTTGTTATTCAAGATTGGACCAGTACACCTGCAGAACATCTCATTCCTGGTTACAGCAGTGGCAGAATTTCTCAAATGCCGAGCACATATTTAATCAATGGGCGAGCGCAGTACTATGTTAGTTTACTACTTTAATAAATCATGCCAGTTATTGAAAATAAATTTATCTCATTTGGAAGGACTGGTTTCCATAATGTTTTTTTCTAAATAAATTTAACAATTTTTACAAATAACAAGTCACAGTTATATTATTGAAGTTTTAGAATAATTTCTTATAGGATTTCTTGAAAAATATTTTATAATTTTAGTAATGAAAGCCTTTCTGTATTCTATCGTTAATAATCTTTATTTTGTTTCAGTTAAAAAATTCTAGCTTGAGCCTACCCTTGTCAGAATTTATAATAGAAAAAGGAAAGCGGTATAGATTTCGATTGGTTGGGTCTACTTGCCTAACTTGCGCTGTTGGTGTTATATTCCAAGGTCATCGAGTATTAGCTATTTCTGCGGATGGAGGGCTGAGATTCAAACCTGTACCGGCTGACACCATTGTTCTTAATTCAGGTTCTTCAATCTTATCTTCTTAAAGTAGTTAAAATTAACAACTTATTTTTTAAATAATTATATTGAAATATATTTATAACTATTTTAAATTAGGTTATTTGTGGAAAATCATATATTTGTTTTAATTTATTTATATAAGTCAATTCTGCTTGTAGGAATAGACAACTCTTATGAAAAAAAAAACATCTTTTGAAATATAATTTTTAAAAAAATTAGTTTGGTTAAACTTTTTTCCAATTTAATCATTAGACAACAGAAAATATTTTTTATATCAATTAATTATCAAATATGTGATTAGAAAAAAAAATATAAAAAGTAATTCTTTGATAACTTTATAAAAAAGTATTGTGTTAATTCTTCATTCACTCTTTCAATATTTATCAATTTTCAGTTAAATTGGTTTTTTCTACCTACGGCTATTTATATTCTTTTAATTTCAAAATATTCAAAGAAAAGTTAACAACAAAATAGGTTAAAGAAAAGTTAAAAATTTATTTTACTGATTTTATAAATTTATTATTCATTTGTTAATGAATTGATTATCATATATATATTTCGCATTCAAATTTTATTTTACTTTATTTTCGCCCTTACTTAACAATATATTACTCGAATATATTATTATAATTTTTAAAAAGTATAGTATATTATATTATCCAATTAAATACTATTTTTTTATACATTAACAATTATCGAATTTAATTTTAAAAATCTGGTCCGCCCAACACACAACTTTCAATTACTGCTTTACTTTGAATAGAAATTATTTTCTGGTATTGTTGGGCTATTAAAAATTTAATTGAAGTTACCATTAAAATCACAAAAGGTAGACATTAAAAATCTAGTTGCTCCATCTGCTTTTATAAACCACACAACTTCAGTCTCTGGGCCTTTCCGTTGACAGAATGACTAACTCCAATTTCAACATTTTTGAGTAATGCCATTTTAGTGATATTTCTAGTTGGAAAAGTTATATCTGAACAGACAGTGAGTAAGTTGATTCCAGAGTAGGTTATAGCAGTGTTGAAATATAGAACTGTGAATAAAGGTATAAATTTTGCAACTAGAAACATCACTAAAATTAATTAAAGACTGATATATGCCTAGAGAGATATGAAAGTACTGTATATCTAAATATTTAACTTATAAATGATTATGGATTGTAGGAATATTAGTTGTTAAACTGTTATTTTCCATTGTAAAGTTTAAAAAAATGAAATTACGAGATTTTCAATACCTGCCATGGATAGGTCAAAAGTTGTCACACTAATTGTAAGTGGATAATGTTGGGATTTCACAACAGGAGACTTCATAAAATTATTCACTAATTTAATTTTCTAAACGGTTACCTTATAATTTTTTGGAATAAACAGCCAATACCTAACTAAATATTTAAATATAATATCATATCTAGAGTTATTAAACCTTCTACAACTATCTTTATTTGATATGATTTTTTCTAAAATTCTCTGCTTTCTAACGATATATTATCCGTATACGCTCTGACTATTATTTCCAGAGATTCATTTTCGACCTGGATAAGCATTTTTCTTTTTCTCTCCTTTATTTAATTATTGAATTCTTTCAAAAGTTATGTTTAGCCATTTTTTATAGTTACTGTCAATAAAAGAGAGTAAAATTTTCAAAATAAATCATATTAAATGTACTTTAGAGGAAGACATATGTGAACATTGGGCATGTAAGCCAAACATTGGCATGTAAAATTGTAAAAATCTGTTTCACCGTTGATATAATATGTGGCACTTCCGGTTAGCCAATTTTAAGGAAAAAGTTGCTGTCACATCTAAGGCATATACCTATCTTAAATACGTAATATCAGTGTCGTACGACTTTTCGTTTTTGAGCTAGACTGTTCACATACAGAGACAACCGCACAGAACATTTTGGGGGACTTGGTTATTTGGACTCAAGGGGCCTCAAAACATGCATTTCCGTTGAAAACTCTGATTTGAAAATTTTCACGACCGCAATAATTTCCCTTACTATATATTCCATACATACATACACATATGTAGGTAGGTGGAAGTAAAAATAATTTTGTAGTTGAGCTACTGCAAAGTTCAGAGCATAATACTTTATGCAAAATGTTTATTTTACATAAAAATGCATATTCTGCTAATAAAAATAGTCAAAACAATCCTAACTAACACAAAAATATGTAATTATTTTTATATATAACGAACTTGATGATTCAACATGAAATTTTTTTTCAGCTGAGCGTTTTGATGTGGTTCTTGAAGCAAATCAAACTGAAGGTTTATATTTTATTCATTTACAAAGTTTGGGAGAAAACTGCAATCCTACACCACATATTGGGATCCTTCGATATAAATCAGTTGAGAAAACAGAAGAAATTAATTTTCCACAACCTTTGACTTACAGAGAACTTGGTGTTGTAAGTTAAATCTCTTTGAATTAAATTTAATAGTGAGAAAACCAAATTTGAGTTATCATATCCTATGTCATTTAATAGATATTGTGCTTAAGGTATGGCTGTGCTTAAGATTAATAACATACATGGCTGTAATAAATCAAACATTGAGGTTTAGATAAATTCTATCAAATTGCCTAAATTAAAAATATTTTCCAAACTTCATTTAGTTCTACCTAGTACCTTTTTTTTTTTTTTAACTATGTTTAGTTTCAGATACCTCATGAGGCCAACTGCCACTTTCTTTAATTTATGACAGTTTATAGAAAAATATAAATACTATTTTATTTTTCAGATTTTTAATGCTGTAAATTCCACTTGTGATGGGACTAATACCAATGAAATTTGTATCTACCAATTGGAAGGAGTTGAAGATGCTATTGAATATAAAAATTCAGAAAAAAATTATCAACAAATTCCCCTTCCATTTGGAATTTATGAATATAGTGATGAAGAATTGTTTAGGAATGGAACATATCAGCGTTATGATGGTAATTGTTACATGATTTACAATATGAATAAACTAACATTAAGAACTAATAATTCACTATTTCACCTTCTCATTCAACCTTCATTGTTGGCAAAGGTGCAACTTTGATTAACTTTTTCTAAATTTATTACTAATACAAGGGAATGTGATTAATTCCCATGTTCATATAAAGTTAATTGTGGTTAAAGGATAGTATAATGGCAATAAAGGAATGAATACTTGTTATAAGGAATAAACTTTGTAGTATTTATGGAGAAAGAATGTACTTTAATATATGAGCCTTTCAGTTGACAGAATGTCTGACTCCAATTGAAACATCTTTAATTATTAATTTAAGTGGTATTTCTAGTGGTAAAATCTATACCTTTGTTCATAGTAGTATATTTCTACACTGCAATCACCTACTCTGGAATTAACTTACTCACTGTCTGTACAGATGTACATTTTTTAACTGGAAATATCAGTTAAATGACATTACTCAAAAATGTTGAAATTGGAGTTAATCATTCTATAAACCGAAAGGTTCATATGATTATATAATTCCTCTATGAACTAGAATTATGATGCAATCTCCTGACATGTGATTCGTAAAAAAATTATTAAATGTGCTAAAAAAATGATAAAATGTGCACTTTTTGAAAGTAATAAACCTGTTGTCCAGGGGTACCCATCCTCGATGTCCAAGGTCCCTTATAAGATATAGATCCTAAGATATTTTATGCTTTTATATTATATATATTATACTTTGTGCAGGAAGGGCCGAGTCATGCTCAACCGCCAGGTTTTCCCCTTTAATTATTGATTTAATTATGAGAACCTACTTCATAGAGGCTGGGTGTGCCCCAGGAGGGTCTCTCAGCCCCAGTGTTGATCCATAGCTGAACTAACCCCCTCCTCAAGTTTAATGATGATAATACGATTATTATTCTATTAATTATTGTTTTAATTTTTAAAATAATATTATGACTACATTCTATTAATTATTATTATATTTTATCTATTAATATTATTTTTAAAGAACCTGTTGGTGGCTTGAGGATCAAAACACTTATTGATAACATTTCATTTATGTTTCCTTCATCACCGTTGATAAGCCAGTTTGATGATATTCCAAAAGATTATTTTTGTCCTGAAAACTGTCGTGAGACAACTGTCAAGAAACCATGTACATGTGTCAATGTATATACAATCCCTTTTGGGACAGTGGTCGACATGATAATTTATGATACAGGTATTTATAATATATTAATAAAACATAAAGATATTTAAAGAATAGATATTTATTGGCTTCTATATAATGTTTCCAATGAACAAGCAAGTAGCAGGAAAAGTTAGAAATTCTTGGGGTTGTTTTTTGCAATGTAGCATTTAACTTTTAATTCAGATTTTCATAAAATAATTTAAGGTGTTGAAAAGAGGTAATTGATGATTGATTTGATACTGAAGAACATTTAAAACCTCAATAGTTCTTCCGGATCATTCTTAAAATGAATAAACATTAATCTTATACGAGAATCAGCCCATGCATATACTTCAAAATCAAAATTCTTTTCCAATCACTAGTTAATAATTTACCAATTAATCAATTTTTATTGTAATCCTTCATCTTAAGATTTAAGAAAATAAAATATAATTTTTTAGGCAACAGAAATGGTTTTGATCACCCATTTCATCTCCATGGATATAATTTTTATATACTGGAGATGGGTGTTTTTAAGGAAAGTGGTGAGAATAAGACTGCAGAACTCGCTTCCTTGAGCCAGAAATTAGAAGAAGGTAACATAAATCTCAAGTTGAGACCAATGAGAGACACTATAAGTGTTCCAGCAAGGGGTTATGTTCTAGCAAGATTTATCGCTAATAATCCAGGTAATATACTTTATATTTTACAAATTTTCTTTCAAAAATTGTAGAAAAAAATAGAATTTAAATCCAAAGCTCGATGATAATAATAGTCAAAACCAATGGTAATATTTTGATCTAAAATTAATTTCACTCTTCCAAACCAGTGGCATCGCTAATAAGGATAACTTTACCTCAATCGGAGCATTTTTTCTTTGCGTGCCTATCACCATTCCTCCAAAAAATAAATTTTACCTTAACCCATTATGTACTAATTAACAATGCATAATTAGGTTCTCAATAAATATTTATTTTTTAAATATATATTTTTCTTCATTTGGTTAAAACATTCAACTATGCAAATCAAATCAGGGACACCTATAATTATTAATTCCGATTGATTAACCTAATAAAAAATAGATGATACCTGTTTGAAACCTAATAAATGTTCTTATACTGAAAATATTTCATTATTGCAGAATCAAAAATACAATCCTAAAAACATAATCATTACCTTGAAAAACCTAAGAAGTGATATTGCAAATTTAATAATCATTCGAAATTCTCATATTTAACCAAAATCTGATTGTCAATTTTAAATTAAGAAATAGAAAAATATTTCAAAATATTAATTAATTTTAATTTTAAAACCTTATGATAAGTTATAGTGGGTTGTGTTTAGAATGAAAAATAGAAATTTGAAATGGATGAACAGCATTGGTGGATTTATTCAAAAAGCTGATTGTAATTCTTATATTTTCAGGTTTCTGGCTCCTTCACTGTCATTTTGCCTTTCATCTGGAAGTAGGGATGGCTGCTGTTTTCAAAGTAGGAGAGAAAAGACAGCTTCCATCTGTGCCATATAAGTTTCCACAATGTGGAAATTTCTGAATCTTGATTTAGGAGAGGTTACTTAATTTTAACGGAAATAATACAAATACAATTAATACCGATTTATTATTGAAATGAAAAACTAATCAATGGACATATGTCTGTCTAAAACAGGACTACATTTTTTTTTATTACTTGTGTCAACTCTTAAATAACAGATTGAACATGACATTAAAATAAATATGAAAAGAAAAGAACAGAAAAGCAGATAATACAAAACTAATAATTGTATTAAACTTGTGTAATTAAAATTATTAAATTTCTGAAAATCTAAAAAAAGTTCAAGCAGATTTTACCAGTCTCTTGGTAGTAAACCAAAATGGCCACTTAATCAGTGTTTGCAAGTGCATGTGTACATAACACATGATTATGAAGATTGGTAACATGGAGGAAGAATGTTTGTCAATGAACTGGAAGAAAAAATAAAGTGTAGAAAGATTTTAGTATCGTGTTAATAAAGATATTTTTAATTGGCCAAGAAGACAAATCTTAAAAAGCAAAAAGCTACAATTATATAGATAATACGTTAAAAGAACTAAGAGAATATATTAAGTCCTCTGTGAAGAAGGATCAAACTAATACATAAAGATATAAAAATTCTTTCAATAGCTAAAATCAATTCTGGTTATTTTGAAAAAAAATTCTGCTGTGGATACAATTTCTAGTTTGATTGATTTCTGGAATAATACACCCTAAATTGAAACTAGAATAAGACTGAATGAATACCAAAGGAATTGAAGAAGATAAATCAGATAGTGTATATCATCAGGAAGATCAGTATGAAGTTGATGTACCTGAAAATAAAACATTTTTTTGTTGTTTGTTTTTTCTACAAAGAAGAAAAAATTATTTTATCAGTAAATACCTTACTTATCAGTTCATCACCTCTACAATATATTGTTGGTTTATTGCAAAAAGTAACTAACAACAGGACTTTACAGTCAGTGGATCACAGATTTCAACTAGTTTTTTTTTTCAGTGATACTACATTGAAAAATATTCGTCAGGTGTCCCCAGCATTCATTCCAATAGGTCCTGGAAGTCGAAAAAAATTTAAACGGAGCTAAAGCTTAAAGGTTACAGATAAAAAGTCATTAAGACCATTATAATTACAAAATGTCTATTTAATATATCGATGACAGGCAATAAAAATCTAGTCACTCCATCTGCTTTTATAAACCACACAACTTTCTTTGCTTTTATAAACCACAGAATGACTAACTCCAATTTCAACATTTTTGAGTGATGTCATTTTAGTGATAAGTTTAGTTGAAAAAGTTATCTATGCAGACAATAAGTAAGTTGATTCCAGAGGTGGTGATTGCAGTGTTGAAACATAGAACTGAGAATAAAGGTGTGAATTTAGGTGCTTATTTCTTATGAAAGATGTTCTTAGGAAAGACACTTTATTAAATATCTGTAGAAAAAAGGTTTTTTTAGTCTCAACAATTAAAAAACTATATTTTAAATTTATCCAAATTTTCGCCTCTTCAGGAAAAAAAAACTAGAGACCATATCTTTCCTCCTAATTGTCCGATTTTAACGATTTTTTTTTTGTTTTTTTAGGAAACTCCATAAACTTTTTAAAAAACATGTACAATATCCCCCAAAAACGTATATTTTTTGACTTATTCGAAATTTAATTTTAACATCCCTCGTAACTTTTTTTCCAGCTTCTTTTCGAAAAAGTTGCTGTCTCATCCGGTCCATATACAAACCTTAAATACTTAATATCAGTTTCGTACTACTTTTCGTTTATGAGCTAGACTGTTAACACAGACACACACACACGGACACACACACGAACACACAGACCATTTTGTGACACTTGGTTATTTGAACTCAGGGGACCTCAAAACATGTATTTCTGTTGAAAACTGAGGTTCGAAAATTTTCACGATCGCAATACTTACCCTTACTATATTACTATAAAAAGATTAGTATAAAAAAATATTTAAACTAAAAAAAAACTTAATACAGAATTCCTTTCCACCTTAAGGAAATGTACTTCCATATCTACTTAACATCATGGCAGATTGTTAAGAAAATTGATATCTACTTTTTTAAATCTTGATGTAGTTGCCATGTGCCTTTCATTCCACATTACAAATAAATAGAAAAACCTGGCACAAATAAATACTCATTACAAAAACCTTACAAATAAATTTCGTCCCATGTATTGGCGCATGTCAAGATACGAAAGAGTCTTGAGTTTCATTTAGTATATGGAAAGCACCCGAATACTGTACCAAGTTTAATATTCTTAGATGCCAATTGCCATCTAGATCTACTAAGAAGTTTAAGTATATATGAAAATATATTCCATTAGGACGGATAGGATTTCTCGATTTCTGTAGTTGGGTTTTTATTTTATTAAAAAATGTATTTCTTTTCTTTTTCACATTTTCATACACATATATTTTAAGATAATTTTTCAATTTCTATAACACCTAGCTTCCTCGCCGTTTTCATTGGCTAAAATATGTCTATATTACAAGATATACAATTTTTTGTATGAGAATAAAATCTCTAGGAGAAGTCGATTCGGAAATACAGTTAACCTTCAAGATTCACGGGTTTGATATTCCCGAATTTCGTTTATCAGCTAATATTAAAATGCGAAAGAGTGCCGCAGTTGAAGATTTTATATTTGATTATTCTTAATTAAAAAAATAATACAAATGCATAAGGAACGAACATAAATTTCACTACTGTTAGTGCAAAAGATCGTATGTAAAAATTGATTGTTTTACAAGAGAAAAAAATCATTATTTCTTTATTATTTATTAGTATAATTTCATACTTTATTGTCATTTGCTATCTACTTCTATAGTAGCAGACTACTTATAAAATGCAGTTGCAGACTAAAAAATGTCACCTTTAGCACAAATAGAACAAAAGTTGAAAATGTTTACATACGGTCTTTTGCACTAATAGTAGTGATATATACTTATTAGGTATGTTTTCACTCGTAAAATGGATGGAACCAGAAAATCCATAAGAAAAATTCAATTTGTTTGTTTGGAGTTAACGAGGCCAATACTTTTCTTCAGTCAGAACAAAACGCATTAAGCTAGAAAATATAAAAACATAGGTGAAGTTCACACAACTTCGATATTCAAGGAGGAAATCGAGACCAAGATGAACTTCAATGGAAAAATAATAAAAAATAAAAAATCATCCACTAATCCGCCCTTGAGGATCCTTCTCTTCCACATATTTGTAATATAATCATTACAGTTTAATGATTACACATAATATGAAAGATAGGATCCCATTCATTAATGATATATACATAGAAGGAATATTAGTGGTACTTATTAATATTGACCAACTATTGCCTAAAACATAAATGTTCCCTAAAAATTTACGTTATATGTATTAATTGCGAATTTATATTTAATAACTTACAATCTCCTAAAAGTTTTAAGATAACCTTGACTTTCATATTACATTTAATAGCGCTAAATTTCACATCCGAATATAACTAATTACTCGGGTGATTAGCGTGGTATTATGTGCCAGTCAAACTCAGATAATGAGATAATTGTTGTAAATTCCGAACGAGGGGGAAACTTTAGATCCATTTCTATTTGAACGCCATAATATTTGAAGATCCATAATATATGAACTTGGATGATTCGATGGAAAACGTCAAATTTTTGTCTCGGGCTGTTTTCGGACCATATTTTAGATGTTTTTTGAAAGAGCAAAGTTACAAATCATGGAAGTAGCACATTTTTGAAGTTAAAACTTCTTTAAAACGCTTTGCATTTTTTTTGTTTTTGTTTTAATTCTGGTCGAGTTGGCTATTTGAAGTGTTTTTGCATATGGATTACAATATTTTAGAAAATAAAAATCGGATCTGTACACTGTAAGCGAAGGAAATGATCATAATTTCATCTTATTTGTAATGAGCTATTATTCAAAAGAGTATCTTAACCCGACACCTTGTTAGAGAGGAAAAATGGAAAAATATAGTATCGGAAATCAAATGATAACGAGTCTGGTTGAAAATTTGAATTAAATTATCTCAAAAGCTAAAATTCGGATCTGCATAATGAAATCGAAAGAATTTTCAGCATTCGTCCTCTTTGTAATGAGCTATAAATCAAAATTGTATTCTCACGTGATGCCTTGTTAATGTAGGGAAGGGAAAAGAAAGCGCCACAAACATCAAGTAATAACGCCTGTTTTAAACATCTGGACTAAAACATCTCAAAATTTAAATGACATGGAGAATTCAGAAACCAATTTGCGGAGGTCAATATAAATATATTTTTTTAATTAGCCATAAAAATAAGAAATTATGTGTTTCTTTTCGATTTTCTGTTTCACTTGATAGATTTTCGACAAATTACTGATCCTGGTTACAGAAGTTATATTAAAAAAAAAAAAAAACTAAGGTTTGTGTTTTAGAAGTGATCATCTACAAGGTGAGATTAATAATATGAAATATAAATTACATAAATAGATTATTATAAAGAGGACGAAATGCTGAATATTTAATCGCATACCGTATGCAGATCCGATTTCCAGTTTATCATATATTTTAATCCATATCTTCCAAAAAATTCGTTATCAATTACTTTTCGATCCTATTTTTTCCCTCTCTTATTCTCTAACACGGTGTTGGGTTAAGATACAATTTTGAATAATAGCTCATTACAAAGAAGAAGAAATGCTGAGCATACCCCTTGCTTACAGTATACAGGTCCGATTTTTAATATCTGAAATATTTTAATCCATATGTTCAACTAAACTTGTTATAACTTGGTCAATCTCATTGCATTCCGTCAACTGATTTCTCTTAAATATGCCCATGGCGTATTTTTCGTTATACGCCTATATCTTAACAACATCGCGTTTAATTTGGTTAAAATGGAAGAGTAGTTAGAGATTGATCAACAAATGATCAAGTAGATATCCATTTAAAAACATTCCATCCCCTGCTTTCATAAAATACATCCGCTTACGAATCTGAAAACGTATTGTTTTTAACACACCTGTATTTTAAAAACGGATCGTTCGATTAGACTGAAAGTTGAAGGAAATGCGGAAAAAAACTGTAGAAATTCCCTAGTATCAATTTCATTGAATTATATTAAAAAATATTAAAATTAAAGTAAATAACTTTTTAAAAAATATAATGGCTGTGAAATGTGGAAGGCATTGATCATGTGAAAGGGAGGATATGTTCATAGTATTGTTTTATGAGGTTATACAATTTTAGACTGTATTCACAAAAGTTCATTTAAACTGGATGTTCAGTACCGTATATTTGTAAATTTAAATACTCTCTAAATACTACTACTAATTTAAATACTACTTTAAATCTCTTCATCTTGACATCACACTCGCTGATTGTCGGAACTTCTGACAGGTGTGAGTTGAAGAATAAAGTCAAAAAAAAAAATAAAAAAAAAAAAAAAAAATACAATTTTGCACAGAGCTGTATTTTAGTAACTTCATTCATATTCTTCTTAAATTACATTTATTTTAACTGATGGAAAATGTCGTTGAATTTGATGAGGAAGCTATACTGACCTTATTTGGCAGACTTTTTTTTTTTTTTTTTTTTTTTGTACCATAACATTTAAAATTGCAAATGATAAGTCCTTATCAGCGAAAGAAAAAAGGAGGTCCTGATGAAAAATTGATATAGGCAAGTGAAACAATAGGTCACAAACTAAGTAAATGTTAATATGGAACCATAAATATTTAAAGAGATATAAAATTAGGGCGAAATCATTTGGAGAAAGTTGAATTGTTTTTTTGTATCATAGACAGGAGCCTTATCTCTCCTGAATGAAAAATGAAAATGAGCAGGCGATGTATCCTGTGATCGCGTGCAAATTAAAATTTTAAGATATATTCAGTTCTCTCCGAATCCAGAATGAAGGTGATAAGTTAGCCATTAGAGCAATTGTTACTTTAACAGTAAGGTAAACGTGGACTAAAGAAATAGAAAAAAAAAAAAAACAAGAATCATCGCATGGAAGTTAGGTAACACTTTTATTTTGATGTAATAATACAAAGAGTGTTTCCATACAGCTCAGCCTTATATAAGCATTAATTGATTTAAAAAACATATTACTCAACAAAGAGGAGAACGTGAAACGTCCATAAAGAGCACGAAATGCTACAGATTAGTAATAATAGCTAAAAATGTATACATATGGACTTGAACTGTGGGGGACAGTAAAATTTTCTAGCATTAAACGCACTCAATCCTTTCAATCTAAAGTCCTTCGAACAATAGTTGATGCTCCATTCTATGTTACTAACAAAACCCTACACCATAACTTTAATATCCCATTTGTTCTAGACCTTATTCCAGAAAAAATGTCCACATTTCACCAGAACCTTACCTATCATCCAAATCCCCTTGCACATACACTATCCAGCACAGCTCATCCTTACAATCCTCCTCGAAGGTTGAAGCGGCAGTGGCCCAGAGATCTTCTTTAAATAAGCATATATTACAGTTTTGGCGATGGCCAGATCCGCCAAGTATGTATGATTATAGCGCCTCTCCTCAGCCTCTATTGGTCCTTATTACCAGTAATGCGGCTGAGTGCGAGGCGCTGGGATCTCCTAGAGTCCTGCCTTACCTTCCACCAGTGGACAGAAAGGCTTGGCTCGGAGTTCTCCTGAGTTACTGGAATCTGTAAATATTGTTTAGTATGCATGTGTTTTAGTTGTTATATTGACTAGCTTAGTTCTTTTGTTTATATAAATTTACTTTTTGTATTATTATTTTCTGTATTATTTATTGTAAATAGAGTGTGAATGTGCCTGTACATTTATAATAGAATATTTCTGTTGGCTTGATGATTTTATTCCTTTTAAATTTGAAAAATTTATTATGTACTAAAAGGATTTAAATAATAATATAAAATAGAAAAAATATGTTTTGTGAAAAAGTAAATAATTTTAGTTTTACTTTTATAAAAGAAATATTTATATCAATTAAAGTGTTAATATTAAATTTTATGTTCTTAAATTAATCATAGAGATAACGTTCAAATAAATTTTAAAAAGTTTAGTCGTTTGGCAGTGAATTAAAAATTTTGGACCTAAAATTAGATATTTCAGGCTTTGAGTAAGAAAGAATCATTGGTTTAGAAGTCATGTTATTTTTATAAAGATGATTAATACTTAAATTTTATAAATGTAAAGACAAAATTTTATTTGATTATTATGTGTAATGTAAGTGCTCTCTGAACACTATTATAAATTTCAATAAACTTTTCTGGCATCAAGAGGAGTTCGACGGTTCTCCAGACCCTGAAAAGCATTAAAGCCACAGGATATAGCCCTGGATGGTATAGTGATGACGGAATGCAAAAAAGCCTTATACGATTTAGTTCTTTTTTTTTTCGAAAGAAGTAATGATGCCTTAAAATTGAAATAAGACTAATATCGTCCCGGTACATAAAAAAGGTGACATGAATTAGTACGAGAATTGCAATACTTTTAAAAAATACTTTCATACGCTCTAGTATATCCTGGTGAGAACTCTCACATTGGATAACAATCGTTCTCCCAAATACATTCGACATATATATACCACATTAGTGAAATAAATATTTGTAATATTTATTCGAAGCCGATGACACATGTGTCGTATCAGTTAATAACGATCCAACAATTGCATCCAAAACTCATCACTCACACATGACAAGTCTTGAATTGTGTCAAAACTAGAGGATTAAAATAAATCCCATCAAATTACCTATAACTTTTGTCGTAAACCTATAGTGTAACAGTATTCTTTAACAATTTCCCACTTATTCCTGTTGCACTAACCCGGTACATAGAACTACACCTGGAAAAACGTCTGACTTGGTATCCTCATACCATACTAAAAAGACAAGAAACTGATCTACGTTTCCGACTACTTCAGCACTAGACCAACCTCCAATTAACTAGAAATGATTCATATACATGATTAAAATAAGGCCTATTTGGACATATAGAGTCGAGCTTTGGTGCTCCATTAAGCAATCGAATTCCTCTCGTATCCTTACAATCCAAATTCCTCAATACTGCTTACTTTATCACCAATAAAATCATCAATAATGACCTAAATATTCCTTATGTTTCCAAATTTGTCCAATACATATATTGTTATTGTTTGGTACAACTGAGACTTGACTTGAAATTCTCTTATTAACTAAGAATATACATATCTATTACTGAGAATATTAAACCATAACCTAATTATTTTTTTATTTATTAAAAATATCACATAGTTTATTTCTATATTATTCAGTTTGCAAGGGATTATAAAGGTATTTACTTGTTGCTCCTATATTTACTTTAATATTTAGTACTCAACTATAAAAATTAATATTAATTTTTGTTTTTTAAAACTTTTACACTGGATAGTATCTAAAGAAAGAAGAGAGGGGATTGACCCCTCCCCATGCACTTGTAACTATCCCCCTCCCTCCCCACACACCGAACATTTGGTTAGTCACTGCAATGACCACAAAGATAATCGAGATAGATAACTGAATTAACAATATGGGAGAAGAAACAATGGAATCAATTATATCCAAATACCAAATATTGTAATTTTATTGTCTTCACAATCAAAATGTGTACTGTAATAGTTGGTAGGTAGGAATGTATTTAAGAAGTGAACAGTTCATAAAAAACATATAGGCAAGGAAGAAGTTCTATATTCAGAGGGCTGGATAAAATCGAGTTAAACAAAGATATGGGAGCGTCTTGGAGGAAAAAATAAATGTTTTTTTTTTTTTAATAGCTATTTCATCGAATTAAGCGCTTTTTTCCTGGTGTCAATCAATATCATTTACCTGCCACTAGAATGGGCAAATTAACATTGATAGTGAGGAATACGCAATGGCCGGGCTGCCGATAACAAGCAAATATAAAACATACCTCAACAGTACGAGGTAGTGCACGGCAAACATCGGCAGAAGAATGATTCAACTGGGGAAGGTACTGGTAGTAGTACTGGCGGTGCACATTGTCGCAGGTTAGTCAACTTAATAAAATTTAATGAAAAATAATTTTAAAACAGATAAAAACATTAAATTTAACAGTTGAACAAGAATCAATTTATGTTACAACATTGAGGAAAATCTAAAAAAACTTGGTTGTAAAATTAACAAATTTACAAGGACTGTAATTTTAGCAGAGCTCTAAACATCAATTGAACAATACATAATGGGCCTTTGGCGGAAATTAGGTTCTTCCTACTTTGAACACCTCGTGGTGAAAAATAAATTGACTGTTCATGATAAAAAAAAAACCATACACTACACTAAATAATCAAATAAATTTTTTTTCTTTACATTCATAAAATTTAAGTATTAATGATTTTTATAAATATTTAAAAATAGCATGACTTCTAAACGGATGCTTCTTTCTAACTCAAAGCCTGAAATATCTACTTTTAGGTCCAAAATTTTAAATTCACTGTCAACCGATTAAAATTTTTTAAAAATTTCTTTGAAAGTTATCTCTATGATTAATTTAAGAACATAAAATTTAATATTAACACTTTAATTTATATAAATATTTTTTTATAAAAGTAAAACTAAAATTATTTACTTTTTCAAAAAATATATTTTTTCTACTTACTATTATTATTTAAATCCTTTTAGTACATAATAAAGTTTTCAAATTCAAAAAGGAATAAAATCATTAGACCAACAGAAAAAAAAAAATCGACTTAAAAATTATCACTTTTCCACACATAATGTTACATAACACTAGAATTAATCAAACCTGTTTGTTTATATATGAAATATTCAGCACTAAAGTAAACAAATATATGAATAAAAAAAAAATAAATAATATGCAAATGTGTTACAATTGCTTAATGAATTCAGCTTACCCACTTGCTCAGCTAAAGGATATGTCTACATTTAGATATGTCAACAACTAGCCGTGATGTCTTCTTAGTGAAGGATAAAACGTTTGTCTTATCTGTATCCATTATATTTTAAAGCTATACTAAAAATATCAATGCTCTAATAATGGACCCCAAGAGCAGGTAAATATTTATAACCCGTATAGACCACAAACTGACAAGCGACTGCATAGAAAACAGATGCTTTACACAAAGTGGCATAATGCATAGGCATTCATTTTTTTATAATAAAAAAATCTGGTGCGCGCAAAACACAACTTTCACTTACTCTTTGAACTTTGAATAAAAATTATTTTCTGGCCATATTAGGCTATTATAACATGTTTTAAATTGCGCTATTTTTAAACTGAGCTAAAGCTAACAAATCACAAATGCTATTAAAGTAACGAATGTCCTATATCACCGGTTGATTATTGATTGTACGATTCGTTGATTATGGATTGTTCGATCCATTGATTATGGATTGTACGATTATTAAACTGTTATTTGCCATTGCAAAGTTTATTAAAACGGAATTAAGAGATTTGCAGTGTCTGTCATAGACAGGTCAAAAGTTGTCACACTAATTGTAAGTGGATTCTGTTGGAATATCGCAAAGAGAAAAATTATCAAATTATTCACTAATTTAATTTTCTAAAAGGTTACATGATGATTTTTCGGAATAAACAGGCAATAAATATTTAAATATATTATGAGATATAGAGTAAATATATTTAGGATTATAAACGTATCTATGAAATATTTTTATATTTCACTTCTTTTTTCACACAAGTACAATGAAATAGTAGTGGAATATCACAAAGGGAAGATCTATCGAATTATTCACTAATTTAGTTTTCTAAAAAGTTATATGGCAATATTTTGGAATTAACTTTAATACCTAATTATTTAGTGAGAAATACTTTATTATAAGTAATGCAACCCTACTACATAGGGTTGCTTCGTACACAGCATACTTATCAATCCATACGGACATTAATTTTATATTATATTTTTCTTTTTTTTTTCTCTCCCTTTATAACAATACTCTTACAAATTATCAACAATAAACCATATAAAACAATAGACATAGTATAATAAACACTTTCCCAAAATAAAAATAAAAAAATCCTTTTTTCTCTTTAAATTCTCAAACGCCAGGAACGCAATACAACATTGCACACATATAGAACACAGCAATTCCTTGAATGTAGCCAAAAAGATAAGACGATTGTGGACCAATTTAAAATTTAATAAATAATCACTAAACTACAGTAAATGTATTTAATACTATAAACACTTGATTTATACATCCATGAAATGATTTTATATTTTATTTCTTCTTTCACACAAGTACAATGAAATAGTTTTTTTAACGATGTCATTAACTTTTAAATACTGGATTTTAAATACTTTCTACAGACGTAAAAATATTTTTTAAAGTTTACATTTTGTCAGTAAATTTCATTAAATTTCCTTGAAAGCCTGTGATTTACGTTAAATATTATCAGTTTTCAAAAATTGTTACTTATAAGTTTTTCACCGCTCTCCGTTACCTTCTACAACTTGCTATATTAGATATTGTTTTTCTAAAATTCTCCGCTTTCCATCGATATATTATAAGTATACTTCTGACTTGTATTTTCAGAGATTTATTTTCGAACTGTATAAGCATTTATAATTTTTTTCTCCTTTATTCAATTATCAGATTCTTTCAAAAGTTATATTTAGCATTTTTTCGCTAAATATTTTACAAAGCTGCTAATTATTTCACAATGGCATATTATTTGCAAACAATTATACATCTTATATTTTTTTTTTAAATTTCTTTATTGAGTATTATAACAATCTGTCTGTTCGACATTGGTTATAGTGAGGTAGGATGACATTCACACCATATGTACAAAAAAATAAAATAAATAGAACAAAATAATAATCAAAAGTATATACAATAGACAATAAAATAAAATAACCTAAAAAATAACAAAATTAAAACTAAGTAAAAAAAAAAAAAAAATAACATGCATACCTATATACAATCAGGCGAGGGAACTCCAGGAGAACCCTGCGCTACTCTTCCAACCGCGTCACTGGTACTAAAGCCAGCGGAGATTGGTCGAGAGCACTTTAGCCACATACACACATGTCTTGAGTGAAGAATCTGGCCATTGCCAGAACTCCAATTTATATAATTTACAAAAGGTCGCGAGGCCACTGCCGTTTCAACCTTCTTGGAGGATTATAGGGATGGGAGATGCTTGATAGGGATTGTGCAAGAGGATTTGGGTGGTAAGTAAGGTTCTGGTGAAATTTGGAGAACTTTTCTGGGATAAGGTCTAGGACAAATGGGATGTTAAGGTCATGATGTAGGGTTTTGTTGGATACATAGAAAGGAGCATCGACTATTGTTCGAAGGACTTTAGACTGGAAGGATTGGATGCGCTTGATGTTAGAAAATTTTGCTGATCCCCACAGTTCTAGTCCGTAAGTCCAAATAGGTTTCAGTATTGTCTTGTAGATCAGTAGCTTGTTTTCAATGGAAAGTTTAGATTTTCTGCTTAGTAGTCGGTATAGTTGGCCGTATCGTCGGTTGAGTTCTTGTCTTTTGAGTCTAGTATGCGGGTTCCAAGTTAGTCTTCGGTCTAAATGAAAGCCAAGATACCGGACTGTGTCTGAATAAGGAAGCTGGATGGAATTAAAGAGTACTGGTGGACAGGAATTGCGTCGGAGTGTAAAAGTAATGTGTTGGCATTTAGATTCATTAACTTTAATGCGCCAGTTATTACACCAGTGCTCAATCAAGGTGAGATGACTTTGGAGATTTAAGGATGCTATTTCGGGATCAGAGTTGGATGATAAGATTGCGGTGTCGTCAGCGAATGTTGCAAGAAAAGTATCGGGATGAACAGGGATGTCAGCAGTAAAGAGGATGTAAAGCACGGGACCCAAGACGCTGCCTTGGGGAACACCGGCTTTAACGGAGTAGATATTGGAAAATTCTGTTCCACAGCGAACTCGAAAGGAGCGGTCAGAGAGGTAGGATCGGAGGACTAGGTACAAGGACTGAGGTAAATGGATTTTAAGCTTGGAGAGCAGTCCGGAGTGCCATACCCGGTCAAATGCCTGTGCAATGTCCAGAAAGGCACCCGAACAGTATTCCTTGTTTTCTAGGGCTGAGGAAATATGATCAACGACTCGGAGTCCTTGTTGAACAGTAGAATGTTGAGAGCGAAAACCAAACTGATGGGAAGGGATATTTTGGGATTCTATAATGGGTAGGATTCGTTTCAAAAGGATCTTTTCAAAAATTTTTGAAAGGATTGGGAGTAGGCTGATTGGTCTATAGGATGTTGAGCTATTGAGAGGTTTTCCTGGTTTTGGGAAAAGGATAATAGTGGAGTGTTTCCATAACAGAGGGAAGTGGGTGGTGCGTAGGATACAATTGTAGATATATGTAAGGAATATGACTGCTTTGGATGGAAGTTGTCGAAGGATTTGAGGTGTAAGGAGATCATGTCCAGGAGCTTTACGGAGGATTAGTTTTTTTAATTGAAATTTTACTTCGGAAGGATGAATAGCTTTTGGGGGCAAGGAAAGTGGGATTGGTGATGTAAGGAGTTCTTCTACTGTTACGGTGTGGGCAGGATGGGATTCCGGATGTGAAATAAATGTATTGGATAGGTGAATGGCGAACTCCTCAGCTTTATCTTCGTCAGATGCTGCCCAGGAGCCATCACCTCGTCGGAGAGGATGGGAAATGCGGTGAGGATTTAGGATTTTAGTTGTGGTTTTCCAAAGGGAATTGTCGCGAGAAGAGAGGGAGGATAGGTAGGAGTTGAAGGATTGTGATCTGAAGGTGGCTAATTCCAGTTTTAATTGTTTGCAGTAGTAATTATAGGAGCAGCGGTCGGTAGGATGTCGGGTTCGTTGCCATAATAATCTGGCACGGCGTTTGGTGCGGATTAGGTTAAGGAGGTGTTGGGGTAGAATGGTCTTTATAGGAATTCTGGAGGAGTCTTTTGGAAAGGAGGCAGTCCAGGCGGCTTGTTGGATTGTGGTAGTAAAGGAATTTACGGCACTATCAAGGTCATCGGGAGTTTTGAGGGATATGTTGAGATCAA